AGACTTTTCGCAGTCTACAGAAACAGGATTTCCTCGCTTAAAGTTTTTCAGTCCATACTTTATGGACGGTCGAGTACTCTTCAGGATATTTACTTTTTATATCGTTTTCGACGATTTGTTCCTGAATTGATTAGAACGCGTGTGTAAATAAACGAAGATCAAGGAAACGTGGCGCGTAATTTCAATCATAACCGTAAATTAACCGCATGCTCATCACAAGACTCCTTTGCATGCAATGAAAGTTTACCACAGGTAGCCCAAGCTTGAAATATGAGCATCGGCGAGCATCGGCATTGTTGCGTAACATTCAGGATTTGTATGGGAAAAAACCTATCGTTTTTGTAACCTACGAAAATGAAAGGATTACAATAAAAAACAGCTTACCTTACTTAAAATGTGTGTTACGTCTCTCCTGTGCGGCCCACAGGCCGATTTATGGCCGTTTTATGGGTTTTTATGTAAACGGTTTTCTCTCGAATCCTTTATATGGAGAGAAAGCCGTCCCACTTTATTGACGGTCGAGTATTCTTCAGGGTATTTACTTTCTCATACGCTTAGGACCATGACGACCATGTCGGAAAGACACACGAAATAAAGCTTTCAATTTTAGAGTCTCGCTCTGCTAAAGCAACCTCGACTACTGAAGGAATGTCGAAAGTAGGACTAACTTGACACCCTCTAACATCGTTTATTGTTTCTTCTCACAAGCGTCAAAGACAAGCAAGCCTCATCGATTATTTTGTAGTTTTTGTTTGCTTCTCCGCAGGTCGGTAAAGCCGGTGTCAATGAAATGAATTCGTATGTGCAAAAGTATGATGTCGAATACATACCATGTATGTCGGTTTAAGCCCTTCTTAACTGATTATCTTTTTTATGAACAAAGAAAATAATTAACTTTGTCTCCAGATATTTGGCAACTAACAAAAGAATCATTCCATTATTTTCGGCTCCTCCTTGGTGCAGATTTAAACGAACAAAAGAAAATAAAAGATCAGTTAAAATAGGTAATACTTGCAATTTACATACTATACACGTCGAAATCTGTCAATCTTTTGTTAACATTTGATAAACAATAAAAATGCAAGCACTAAAAGTTTAAGTTTAGATTAACTTACGTCTTACTCAGTGTATTCTGATGAATTATTTCAGTTGTTTAATTCTGTTATTTTTACTGTTCATATAATTTAATGCACCTATTTTAACTTGATGTTAAACAGCCTACTTCTTGCTGTCATAAACTCGGTGTGAAACAGATTTGTTCCTAACACGTTTGAATCTCAAATGATTCTGCTTTCGGAATCTCCTGATTTTCAGATGTTTTTTTGAGATGAATATGTTAAGTTGCGACTTCCGCAGGTTTCTACTATGTTATATTTTGCGATTGTTCTTCGGATTTTCTGGTCACGCCTGTGATCGAATTACGGGAGAGTCTAGCCAATCATCTGTAATGTGGAAGCTTCGCAACTCTAGTATTTCGACTACTTGACACGCTTTTATGGCACTAATTTTAGTAATTTTTTAACTGTTAATTTACAAATTCTTTTTGGAAGCTGATACTTTGTAATTTTAATATTGCTCGCTTTGTTTTATATTGACTTGATAAACCAGCCTTTGCAACGAAATTTAGAAAAGAAACAACTTAAAGGATTTTATGCCAACAAGGAAAATTACTCATAGCTGACCAATCTGAGAGTCAAGTGAATCGGCTTGCTGGTCATGCAGACGCATGGCATGTTGGTCAAGTCATAGAATCAAGGTGCGGTAACGATACTTAGAGATTAGACTGAGAAGAGAGAATTTTATCAGTGACTAGAGAACTTTGCAAGGAATTAAAAAGCAGTTAAAGAAGTTCGTGTGTTGTCCCTTGTTGAAGAAGAACTGAATTGTTCCCCATAAAAAGTTCGTTCAATGCATTTTCCTTTTTTCCGCCAAATTGGTCCGTACCGGCTCCCCCACAGTTACACAGATATATTCAAACTATTCGAAAGTTGACTTACCAGTAAATTTTCTCACATTGTTACTTGGACCAGGATCTATTGGTCTTTTGTTTCGCTTTCTGATTTTTTTTGTTGAAATTCTAGAGGAAACTGAAAATGATGAAACAGAAAAGAAGGCGAAAGAACTATAAAGACAGTAAAGTAATGAAACAAACTCAAGTACTGATATATTTAATGCCGGTGAAATTGAAATAAGTAGTTGCTGCCAGGAATGACCATCGGAAACAACTGTAGGTGACACATTACTTCTCAATAAACCGCGACACCGTGTAGGCCTTTTTTCTTACTATAAACTGTACGGGGTACCCGACCCCTGAACTTTGGAGGAATTTTGTTGTTTTTGATTGACTAACGATCTACAAAAGCCAGTGGAAGCTCATTTAGTTCGTAGTCAAAATTTTTGCTTAGTTGGCCTTCAGGGAAATTAAGTCGTCCATAACCTAAGCGTTAAAACTTACTATAAGTTTATTTAACACAAACTGTAGTAACAAAAGGTACAACTGATTAATCTTTTATCCGTTTCAGGTGGCAGGTCAGCGAGGTCACTCTGTTATTATTCTTTCATTTCCCATAAGGTTATTTGACTGGTAACGTGACACCTTCTTTCACAATAATTTGACATAAATAGGTGCTTGTTGGTCCATTACAATGTATTTGTTATAGAACGTTAGATTTGAGGGTGAAGAAAAACGCCACTTAGGACACTTACGAGGAGATCACTGAAGGTACAAATATTATGTTCTTTTTATGTACGATTGTATTAACGCCGAGGTTTCTCCGAATGGTAGAGTACTTTTCTATTCCGTGTACATGTTATAATAGTTTAATTCTACAGTCCTTGAGACATTTTACACTGACCACTAGGCACAGAAAATAAGTTGCTTCTTAATCATAAAGGTTCAACTTTAGGACTGTAATTTGCCTAACAAAAACAATTATACTCCAAACTATCAATAAAAATCAGTGCTTGTAACCCGGCGGTAGCCTGCCAGGGCGATAGGGGAAGAGCCAGAAAAGTTATTTTATACTAAATTTTATACTATTCTATAGTTGTCTCGTTAGCGTTATATTATAATTCCAAGTCTCAGTCAACTTATAAATATTGAATGACCGCGTCTGAAGGGAGATCTCAATTTCAATCCGCCTTTGATATTTACTAACTTTACTGATCCTCTCCAGTTTTATCCATTCATGAGTTTCGGTTTTGTTATTTAAATGCTACTCTTTTGTAAGTGGTTATTTGTTTTCGTATTCTTAAGATTTGCTTTAAAAGGAAATATTTCCGAAATATGTCTTCATGCTCATTGCTTTCTTGTCGTTTGGTTTACTCTCTTTCTCTTTCATTTTGATTTTTAACAATATAATTATAATAACTTCTTTTCGAATGTGAGCTCCGCTTTTAGGTTTACTAAAATCAATATACAGTTGACTCCCGATAACTCGAACCCTCGCTAACTCGAACCTCGCGCGAACTCGAACCAAAATCGATTTCCCCTGGATTTCCGTCATACATTTACTGTAATTTTACCCCCGCTAACTCGAACCCTCGACAACTCGAATCTCCCGCTAACTCAAAGTAATTTTTGTTTCCCCTCAGATCATTTCTATATAATTTTACTCTCGATAACCCTCGATAGCCCTTAAAAAGTCGGGAAAAAACAACAGTGTACTGGCGTCCGAAACATAGAATTTTGAATTTTCCTTACTCCCGGCTATTTTCTTCGAGCTCCCGATAACTCGAACTTTTTCCGATTTCCCTTGAAGGTACGAGTTATCGGAAGTCGACTGTAGTTATTCTACAAAAGATGGGAAACTCATTCTGTTCTATTAAATTAACTTTCACTTTTTTTAATTCGAAATATATTTTACAATTGAATGGTCCGCGCCTAACAATTGCTTGGCTGAAACTCACCTTACCGCAATCTCCTTTGCTTTGGCTGCCAATGTTTGTGTCAGTGATATAAATAAATAATTGGTCAAGGCGACTTGAATTTCCGAGCTGGAAAAGGTATTTTTTTCTAGTTAACGCCTAAAACTGCACTTTGAGATCTGCTTTTGCAGTTCAGTTTGATCAGCTCTTCTGAATGCGTGACTAGCTGTGTAGGGCGTCTCCAGAGCTTTTCGATATTTCGGTTTTGAACCTAAGCTCAAGGCTTCTTTCTTCGCGGGCTAAATTGGCCATCAGAACATTCCACAAGAAACTTTGTGATTTCCACTTTTTTTTCTTGTCGGTCAGTAGCACTTGATGAAATGAAAGTTCCCGTCAAATTTATTGCAAAGCTTCATTAATCCTTCCACTGCCTTTGTCTTCAGTGGCCGTGTGTTTACACTCGCGCTCCACTTATTTAGCATGGTGTTCGGTGAGGGCGACCACATTTTAAGAAAACACAAATGTTTGAGCTGACGAATCTTGAAATAAGCATGTAGTTTTCCCTTTGTTATATGCCATACATTTTTCTTTTTAAATGTAGAGTAAAGTGCCCGGGGGAGACTACTCAACAATGTTTTGTACAGGGAGGTTCCCCGTGTCGGAAGTCCAAGCCCTTTCCCTTTTATGTACCATTTTTGACAGAAAATTTACCCCTTTCACATACCTGACGTTAGAACTTTACATCCGTTATAACTGCCGTAAATGCATCGCCTCATAGTTTAATATGAATAAATCACTAAACCAGGGAGTTTCTTGCTCATTCACATCCCTAAAATGCACCTGTTAGCCCTTTTTTGACCATTTACGGACTGAAATGACAAATTTCCCTACTCTTTTATATACTTCAACTCACGAAATCTCTACCCTTTCATAAACCTGAAACTGGGTGAAAAGGGCACTTTTTTCCGTCGGAGCCTCCCTGGTATAGGCCATTAGAGGGAGTACTCTCCGAGCCCACGAGCGCACTGCCCCTGGGAACCCTCCACAAATGCCTAAAGAATGGGCATGCTTGAAAGTGACCGAGCCATGTAGTAATCAAATTTTGATTTCTTTTTTAAAGTGATTTCAAAATCATGAAGATTGCGTTGATTTTACTGCCATTTCTTCTGGTTTCGATCATGGTCATCGAATGCCAAGGTAAGTTGTTTGACGCTGCTAAATAAAATTATACTACAAGTACTAAAGGTGCTATGTTTTAATCTTTTGCTTTTTGCCCTTTTTTTTTTTGTTTTGATGAATTTCCAGGAAAAGGCACCAAAAAAGGCAAGCAAGCTACAATCTCAGAGGAAAATATCAAGGACTTTGCGGTAATCAGAGGTTACATGCGACCCGGCCCTTAGTAAAGCCAGTAATTTCAATTTCTTTCAATTGTCCGTTATTTGTTTAATTTAATATACGTGTTATGGAGCTCCCACAGAAATTAGATAACCAATCTGAAATTGCCGGGCACTACTCAACTTGACCCCTCGAAGAGGGAGCTGTAAAATAATAAATTCAATGATTCCTTGTTCGTAGAAAAAACCTGGAATCACAAAGTCAAGCATGGAGGACGATAATAATGGTGAAGAAGAACTACCAGACTGGTTTAAGAAACTTTTACAACAGGTAATACAATCCGCTTCAAGATAAGACGAACCATCAATAAATCTCGTTTTAGACGTCGCACTACTTCCGTGCAAAGTGGGCTCGAACGTAAGCTACTATAGCAGGGCTCTAACACCACGACGTTTCGCAGCGCCACTCAGTAGAGGTGCCATGAACCGTTGGCTGTTTTTGCAGACTAGCACGATTGTAGAACGCTTTGGATTTAGTCTGGGAATTTACTTCAGTGGTGCTAAAAAGCTGTTGAGACAAACTGTAAGCAAGATAGGGGCACCCATACACCATCCTAAGTACCTCACCCGTGCGCACAGCTCATTAGTATACACCTGATTGAAAGAACGTTGTCGGTTGAAAAGTATAAACCATGAACCATGGGACCTAATGGATTTATGGGTACAACTTTATTAGCATTGCAAATTTAGAGTTCTTCTAAAAAATGTTTACATTTACAAGCTTTTCGCAACGATGCATTCCAAAAAACGTAAAACAGTTTCTGCAGTATTTACGGCTCACAACTTCACCAGTGTTGGACACATAGGAGATTTCTACAGTTAAAGAGCGTAGCCATATGGCTAACGCACACTTGAAAATCATAAGATAGGACCTAAAAGCATTCTTGGAAGACAAAAAAAGACAACACAGCTGACAACAGCATGCCTTAAACAAAGCACTCTAGGGATTTTGTATCCGCACGAGCATCTCGTGACAATGTAAAGTTTTGTCGAAAGAACTTTGAATTTGCTTTGCTAATGAGCGTATACCCATAAATCCTTGAAACCTCATCGTTTATGGTTTATACTTTTTAGCGACAACGTTTTTTCAATAAGGTATATCACGCAAGCAGTGCATGACAGCCATGGACAGTTGTCTCGCCTTGGCTCATCAGCATGGCATAGCCATTGGACCACGAACGGTCATTTTTTCTCCTTGTCAACTGAGAGAAGGGCGACTTCCCTTCCCAATATTCAATATTCAAACCATTTATTTTCAATTGTTATGAACAACTGATGTTGCAAGTTGGTATGAGAGACTAACTGATGAAAACTAGGATATCACAGAGTAACGACTAGACGAGTAAAGGGCTAAATTTACAACAACTGCACTAGATGATTACCGCTGAGAGATCATTGCGGGCCCAAGACTGTGACAAGGTGTCTAAATCTTTACAGTTGTAAGAGCAAACGAAGTGTTCAATATTCAACCCCCTCTTGATAAGTAGAGGAGAATATTGGTTCTGCAGATGAACACTGAGTTCGATTCTCACGAATTTGTATATTGCAGACAGTCCATATAGTATAACGTAACATAAATAAGATAAAACTGTGAAAGGTTTGAACCGGGCCAGAGTCATTAAATAAGTAGGTTGAGTATGATCGTCCGGTTGAACGTCAGTCACTGTCAACAACAACAGTCCCGGTATTCAGGACCACGTTCACCCGGATGATCGTACGGCTCAACCTACTTATTAATAAGATAGTTAAAAATTCCAGAAAGAAGATCTTTAGATGTAGGAATAAGGTTAATTACAATAATTTCTAAACTAAAAGTAAGCGGAAGCGGCTTAATGAGCTTGGCATGCCGACATGCCAGCCAGAGTACCACATTTAAAGGTACTAAGTCGAGCTACTTTCGAATCAACTGAATTTCATGTTTTCCTTTTATAGTCCAGGAGCAAATTATGGTCCGTCAGCCAAACACCCTTCGAGCAGAGCAGAAGCTACTTTCCTTTTCAATTTAAAATCGGATTTAAAGTATTTTCTGCTGGTAGTGCAGTCAGTCGTTCACTGTAGAGTGATGCGAAGAACGCGCGAAGCTGGGGAGAGGGTGGGCGGTTTCCCGCCACTACCCCATTCGCACGCGCCTTATTTTCACTCCTTATTTTCTCCTTATTTTTCTCCTTATGTCTGCTGCTTATAGTTCACTTGCCGCACGATTCTGTTTTTCTTTACAGGGGAAAGCTTTACAGGCAGCAGCAAGATCGAAGGAAAAGAAAAATGATTTGATTGTAGGAAACGTCTCGTCAGACTCTCAGTTGGAAAATGAGCGTATGTTTTAATTACGAATATTAACCCAAATAAAGGTGATAAAAATCGTGAAACCAAAACAGTCAAAACATTTTGTCCTTTTAAAGCAAAAAGGTTCAAACGTACACTGTTGAAAAATAGTTCACTGATGATAGTGTTATGAAACCGAGATAAAGAAAAAATGAACTCAAAAGTAATACATGCAAACCATGGTTCCAATAGTGGCAAATTACTTTTCTTTAAGTTATGTTAATTAGCCTTCTTTGACTCGATTGCAATGCCTGTACAGAATTCAAAAAAATTTTCTGTCTGAAAACGAGCAACTGAGGTCTAGTTAGATTGGTTACCATTTAGGAATCAACTGTATTGTATTAGTACTCCTGTATTAGTGCAAGTGATCGGTCTGTTCAATATATGGACAGTGAAGCTAAAAAACACTTACTGCTGACGTCAGTTACCATCTCTAAATGCTGTTTGTACTTTATTCTTAATCACAAACGCTCCCCGTTTGCTTGCCCCCACATATTTATTTTCATGCGCTACCTTCGCAGCCTCTAGCTTATTATATATTAATTAAATGACGGTAAAAATGGTCTGTCAACGATCATGGATACCAGTGTGTCTTTTTAGCCTTTCTTCAGTCAGTACTCGGCCCCCTTTTTTATGCTTTTTCCCGTCTATCTGTTTCTATTCTCAGCGACACTCAAAGGTTTTGTCGAATGAACAATTTTATAGTCCTTTAACTAAACATTATATCCTAGTTTTGGATGATGCTATTTGTGTTTTGCTCTTCATCAGTTCCAACCGCCGATGTCGACACATTGATCAATTCATTTGGTCAGTTAGGCACACAAGCAACAGGAGCTACGAAGGGTCTAACTGAGCTAAGGGAAAATTGGAATGAGCTCCCGCTTGAAAGTCAAGTGAAATTGAGGAAGGTTTTACAGTCAGCTGCCTCGAACATTGAAAGTTTTACCAACACGGGAGACGATGAAATGGCTGCTATACTGGGGGCGCTCGACATGGTGTCAAAGATGGCGCCAGTTGCCGGTCCCCATGGCGCATTTCTTTCCGCATTTTCGAACTTCGCGTCTGGGCTTTTTAGTCTTTTTGGGGAGGGAGCACCGGTAAAGAAACCTATCGGAAAAATTGTGGAAGAAAAAATAGAGAAGGCATTGGAAAAAAGTCGCCAGAATGATCTCACTAATCAGGCTCAAGCAACCATTCAGCTGTTCTACGTTTCCAAGGCATATTTAGATAGCTTTGCAAGTGATGGCAGAGAACTTGAGGACCACGAGGTAAGGTCGATTGAGACCCATGTGCCAATGGCAACTGGAGTTCCCTTCATGGGAATATTGGCAGCCGAAATAGATCGTCTTCTTAAGGCAAACAAGAAAAACGCTAACGATGCCAAACAAATCTTGAAATACATCGAGCTTTATACAACCATGGCCGTTCTAAAAGACATAACTTTACAGGAAATGGCTTTTCTGATGCCAGCGAGCCATAAAAGAATTCGAGATGGCATGATATCTGTTCAGGAAATGTTTCGTGAATACGAAAAGTCCCTTTTAAAATTCCTTCACGAAGGTAACGCAGGAAAGATGGCACTGGTGTACTATGACCCCGACTTGAACCCAGTGACAGATTCGTATTTGACAAAGGTTTTAAAGGTACCAGATTACGATCGTTCCATGGCCGGAATCTGGTGTCTGACGCCTCGAGGGTCTAATTATCCAGTTGAAGCGAGAAAACGTCCAGAAAATTTTGTGACAGAAAACCACCCCTACATCGCGGCAAGTGGATCAGGTTGCCACTGGAAACTTGTCCCTCATGGTAATAACCTCTACACAGTTGTGAACAAAGAAGATTGCTCTACAAGTGCCCGGTATTGTGGAAAGTATTTGTCATTCGACACATATAGAGGGGGATTCCTTTACCTGAAAACATACTCCATGCTGACACTTGAGCCCGATGCAGCTCTTTGGGAAATTGACGGTCCTTCTAATGCGAAGTAAGAGTTTTTTATGTAATTCTTATTCCACAATCAAGTTTTCCTTGTTTCCGTTTTTTTTCTCTGAAAGTCAGAACCACGAAGACATCACTTGATCATACAGTGAATACAGGTGCGTTCGAGGAGGTCGGACGCGCGTAAGTTAGCTAGTACATTTTTTCACGTTTGGTACTGCTGTCGTATTACAATACCCACCTCAATATTGCTGCTTGTGGGTAGATACTTCTCCTCTTCTAATTCAATGAAGATTGCTCTGGGCATTACTATACCCGCTATCTTTGTACGCGCTCTAGGATTGATGGGATTAAAGCGATGTCACGTGGTATTTCACGGGACAATCCAGCAGCCACAAAGACGAGCAATCGCAGTCAATTTGTAAAGTTCAAGTTTCGACAAGTTTTACGACGCCTTTTACCGCACTTTTGCTTGCTGTGAGTCCATCTACGGTCGCTAGCTCAAAAAAGTGCTCACTAATACCCATCATTTGCCATTCTCGTTTCAAGATAATATATAAATTAATCCAGGGCTAGAAGTGACACCTCCGTTGAAATTAAATGTAAAACTCTAATAAGCCACTACAAAGAATCCTCCGAGTCCTTTTGAGTGGAGGGTGGAGGGCTGGGTGATTATTACTATTTTTTGGATATTTCTATTAACGAATTTCCTTTACATACAAAATAGAAATTAAGAAAAAAAAAAAAAAAAAAAAAAAGAAAAATAAATCACTCTTACATAGTGTAGCTAAATATATTGGCAAAACATACCGCAGACGCTAAATCAGCAATACAGTTACCTAGTATGTGGAATACAAAGTCCTTACTTTAAACTTTTCAATAATGATGAAAAGTATATTTCTTATCGGAAAAAACGCTGATTAACTTTTCTCACTTTTGGCAATACGGAGTTCAATATTTTAAATCATACGCCTTGTCCTGGCAATGAAACCCTAAAGAGAAAGAGTTATTATACCATTCTGGCATTTCTGAGAATAAATATAAATCTTGCCCAAAAGCAAAATATGATTTAACAAGAAAAACGGCGTTTCCTACATCAAACTTACCAAAAATGACATCTTCCTAGCTCTTTAATGCTTTCAACAAGGATGTTATAATCGCACTGCGCGCAGACAGGACAGACATGTTTTCAAAAATCAGATGATATTTTACAGAAAAAGAGTAAATGCTCGATGGATTCAACCTCTGTTTGGCAGAAAGTACAGGTTGGCGAATAAACCATGCCGAAACAAAACAGTTTCAGATTCTAATTTCGTGCGGATGGATGGCGAATGAACACATTTCCAATCAATATCTGTGTTCGGATACTTTGCAGCTAACTTTACTCCTAAGCAGCGGGGATCTACATTCCTAACATTGAAGGCTCACAATCAACGAATCAACCTATACCATGTGTCTCTAGGAGGGTCCTGTCCCACTCGCTCCTCTCTCCTCCCCCGGGGGGTACTCCGTTATAAGGGCTTAATGGGGACGCGCGGCCAGCCAGGGTATGTTTTTCGGGATTTTTGTCTTAAACAGGGTATCGAATTTATCATTTTTTGTCTTAATCAGGGTATCGACTTATCAATTTTTGTCTTAAACAGGATATCTTTTCTTGGACGATAAACAGCAAAATTTTTACAAGCTCTAATGTCTTAAACAGGGTATCAAAAATCGGAATTCTGTCTTAAACAGGGTAGGAAAATCAGCGATATTTGTCTTAAACAGGGTCAGGGTATGAGGGGCCGCGCCGCACCTCCCCACCCAGGGATATATCGAGTACCCTCTCCCCGGGTTTCCTCCACAGAGCCCTCCTGGTATCGCAGGGAGGGCTGGAGAGAGGAGCAGGAGCCTCTGCGGAGGGGAGAGCTCCAGAGAGCTCTCGCTCTGAGCTACGAGTAGAAGAGGATCATCACTGGCAACAAGGAAAACAGGGACAAAACCATGCAAAAATGCACAGCATATAGGTTTTATTTATGGAAATCATTTTTCAAGGCTCATACGAATATCACTTTATTCTTGTTCATTTGTGTTGTTTGGTTCACTGGTCAAATGAAAATCATTCTCTTTATAATGTTCTTTATCAACAGGATCCGGTGTAAATATGGCTGTGGCGATAATGAAGAATGGAGAAACTATGAGATTGATATGTATGACGACACCTGGCATTACAAGACTTTTAGCCGCAATCCCCCAGTATATACGATACACTTATTTCAACTAAAAGATAGGGGCAGTACTGTTTGGTCTATCACAAAGGTAGGTGCTATAAAGCCACACACAGGCGTCCCAAACTCACTATTGTGAGCGCATGAAACTAATTCATCTCCTAACATTGTGTAACGTAGTGATTTATAGGGTTTATATGGGTAAATAATGAAATATTAGCTTCGTATCGTGTAGCAACTGGATATAAAATAAACTTACTTTCATTTTCTGTATTTTGAGTTCCTGTATCGTTTTCTCAAGCTATTTTGGCTGATATTTCTACCCAAATCCCTTCAAAACCACTGAGGAACACAAAATACATCAAAAGTCATCAGGAAGAAAACAAAAACACTTACAGCGGTGATAAACATTTTGATTTTTCGCATTTTTATATAAACTTGACGTCGGCGTATCATTCTGCAAGTCAACATACATTTTCGAGACCGTTACGTTACAGGTTATGACCAATCCATATATACAAAATTAACAAGGGATCACTGTAAATGAGATTAGAAAATTCCTAACGGTGAATATATAAGGAAACAGCTAATTAATAAATCATCAGCTTTTCGCTGCTAATGTATAGTCATTCAGAAAAGGCTGGCTTATGTGAAAATGCAAAAATTCAAAATGTTTATCGCGCCTCTCACGGTTTTTGTTTTGTTTTTGATTAAGTTGCAATGGCCCAAGAACGAAAGTTTTTATGATACAGCAAAATTTAGCCTGCGGGGCAGTTGCAAAAAAGGGAGGGGGAGGGGAAGGGGGAGAGGAAGAAAAGCGCGAAAGGGACCTCTAACCACGGGTAGTCCAACTGAATGGTAGCAAAGGTTGAATCTACACTGTCACGTTCAGTTAATGCTTTCTATAACATTGAACAGCTGAAACTGATTTTTTTTTAAGGAGTACATAACATTAACAGTATTATAGGATTTTGTAATTCCTTTAAGTTGCTTATAAAAAATTCCATCTCGTTGCCCCTCAACCTCGTCCTCAGGGCGCTTTTCCTGGCTTTGGAGGTGGGGAAAGCAGGCCGGGAAAAGGGCCCTGGGGACCAGGTTAGTTGCCACCAAAGTAAATGGCAAAAGTTGCCAGGAAGGTGCTCCCGGCGAATAACAAAAGTTGCGAAAAACTTGCAGAGCAACTTGTGGCTCAGTGATGCTACTCACCAGAAAAAGAAAGCCTCAAGGGACCTATAGCCACTGATCTACACAAGATTCGTAGTAGCTGAGCTCATTTCGCTAAGTTGATGTTATAAACATCCTTCTTACTAATAGGCCTGGAGTCAGCCGCGTAATATATGGCACATCATGGACTTTTCAAAATAAACTCGGTTATTATGGTTTTCAATGCTTCAAATTGACAGCGAATTTGGATAATAAGGGATAATGGAAACATTAATTTAAAACATTTCAACTATATTTATTTGCAGAATCCACCCCAGCAGAGAGATGCGGCCCGCCATCGAAACCCCAGACATTAGAAAGGCGAGTGTCTCTTCTTGGAGCAACACTTCCAGATGAAACAAGGACCGGAGAATACATCGAACAATAAGGAACATAATAAATTCATTAAAAAAAAAAGTAGTTTGTAGTCAAGATAAAAGAGAATAAAAGCATTTTGCCGTCCTCCCAGACGAGTTTTTCTTTTTCTTTCATTTTTTCAGCGAGTTTTCTATTTTCATACGCTACCTTGACTTTTAAGGAAAAAACAGGTCTGTGAGCAGAGTAAAAAGCATTGAAAATTATGAGCTTTCCATATAAGGTTACCATAGCGGCTGGAAGGGGGGGAAGTAAAGTCTCTTTTGTCCGCACATGCAATGAATAAACTGATACCGTAAACTTCCGATTATAAGCCCCCTCCCCCGAGTTACAGGCCCATCATATCTGTACGTGAAAACTTGTTATGTAGCTTGTTTTGAAACACTTTTTTTAGTCTGGTTAGAAGCCCCCCGAATATGATGTAAGTAGGAAGAAGCGGAAAGGGAGTCTTCTCTAAAATCTCCTCTCCCTTAAGTCCTGAGGGCCCTCGGTCCTCGGTCACCGCATTTCACGTTCTGGACCTCCCAGTCGACAAATAATGCAAACGAACTAAAGGAACTTCAGCACCCATGACTATTAGCTATTTCGTTTTGCCAGTTTTTGCGTTACTTTTATCCATGAGACAAAGTTCCCCAGCCCCTATGGAAGGATGAGAAAGACTGAGAACTAGTTTTTGCCAAAAACCGTTCAAAATGGCGGCATTAGCGGCGCGTTTTAGCGAAGGGAAGCATAACGTTGCTATTGAACAGTGAAGGTTGACCTCAGTTGAATTTTATTCCACTTGATCATTTAAAAATAATGTCACGGAGCGAGAATGGTACCTCACGAAGCTCTCATGCCAACGAAAACAGTCAAGACAGCACAATACAGACGGAAAATGATAGTCATACAACGGCAGACAACACGACGGATGTGGAATCTACCACTCTGATGACAAGTTCGACGCTTTCCTCTACTCAAGTCGATAGCGAGTCAGAAAACAGAATAACCAAACATGAAATCGAAAAAAAACAACTGATGCACGATCTGGAGCTGCTGCGTATCGAGCTAAGCCAGAAAAATCTTATTATTGATAACATGAAGGTTGATTATCTTAATAAAGTGGACGAGTTGGAGGAGCTTGTGGCGGACATGAGACACGACAAGCAAATTCTTCAAGCGCGACTTGAGTCGCAGCTTAAACTACAGCAGGAAGAATCCAAGAGTTCTCTTGAACGAACAAGGCAAGAGATGGCGAAAATCTTTAAAAGGCAACAGGCCCTGGAACTCGAAAACAAAAAACTTCAGGAGAAAGCAGTCGATTTCAGGAAAGGGTTAAACGATCTGGAATCAATTTCAGATGAAGAATACTTGGAACTGAAAGCTAAAGACCCTGACCAACTGGGCTTAAGGGAATTTTTGATGGTTAGTCTAACTACTGCATTATTCTTTAATGTATAATGAGTGGTGAATTCATTTAGCTTGTTAGGGAAAGTTCATTTAATCAGTTTTCAAGGGGGGATTTTGATATTTATGATATTTTGAAACTTTTATCCATCCAAATTTTAATCTGACCCCCTGCATGGCTAGCGTTTCTCAATTTTTCAAGAAAGTTGGAACGTAGTCGAAAAAAAAAGGAATTTCAGGGGAAGGGAGCCCTCCTCCTTCAATTTTTGAAAAACTGCGTTCACCCAGCTTTTGAAAAAAGATGCTGGTATTGATTAAATATATTTACATCAATCAAACCAGGTATGTTTTGTTTTATACTATGGTCAAACTGATTGAGATACAAATGTGATACAATTTATCTGAAAGCATTTTGTGGATGAACAAGAGATCTGATCCCTTCAATCAAACTACATTACTTTGAGATATCTGTGGAGACCAGTGATATAGCCACTTTACAGGGAATTAAATTGTTGACTGGAAAAAATCCGACTGTTTGTTGGATGTAACATGTGTTGCTTTGAACATACAAATACTAGACACCCCCTAGAGCCGCCATGAATAAGTTTTGAAAATTGAGCGGCATGTATTGTCTGAAATGTTCGACACTGGCTGGCCTATGGATATCTTCTGCTCCCCAACTTGTCATATTAAATGAACATTTCTTTGCCTTTTGACAAGGTTTCAGATGAGATAAAGTTTTCTTGAATTTATTTTGATATTTATGAAATATTTTGAAAGCAATTTTATCCATTCAAAGAAATTTTAATCTGACCGAATACGGAGAAGTTGTAGCCAAAATTCACGAGTATGATTACAGATGAACTTGGACAAAATGAAGTTCTGTTACCAATTTATCGTAATTTTAACAAAATTTGTGATAAATAAGGCTCTCTTTTTAAATCTAAAAGAAGAAATTCCATTTTTTTAGCTAGCAGTAAAAAAAAAGCCATTTAATTTTTCAATTGATGGTGTGTACTGTCCAATTACTTAGACATGACGTGTACTGTCCTATTACATTGTCCTATTAAGGCTGAAATCAGGGCAGTTGGTAGCCAATCAGATTTGAGAATTTTGTTATGGATGTGATTATAATAATAATAATAATAATAATAATAATAACAGTACTAATAATAATATTCTTGTTGTTGCAGATCAAAGTGTTTGAAGCTAGCCACCCTTTGTCTGTAGAATGCACAAACCTCAGACAGCAGATGGATTCCTTAACTCATGATCTTCACACCAGAGATGAAGAAGTTGCTGTTTATCGCAAAGTAAAGTGAAACATAACTTGCCTTCTTTACAACACAGACACTGAGATAGTCATGTAAATGAAGCCTAAAAGCAGAGCTACCCTCATGAAGAAGCAACAGAGCAAATTAGGGGGATCTAGAACAAGTTCATGTTACAAAGCTAGGGCATGCCATCTACCAGTCCGGAATATCCCTAAATTTAAGGACAGGGCCGAAACTTTTCCAATTAACTCAAAACATCGCCGCTGTGATAAAATATGTTCAAAACAGCGGACTTCATCCATTCCTTCTTTTCATGGGCATTTTTTTTTAAGAGGACCATAAATATTCAGCACATTTTGTTCTTCAGTTCAGCTTTTCAAGGTAGGTGAACACGTATCTATTATTTTTTTCGATTCACAGATTTTTTTTTTAAGTTCTAAATTTTTCCTTGATTGTATCATTTTGAATCATGCTGGTCCAATTTTTGAATTCGATGTTAAACACGTGCTAGTCTTCCTTTCTCTTTTATTACTTTTTTTTTTTGCATTAGTACGAGCCTTTGCCTCTTTTTTCTTTTCAAGGCCAAAACAACTTTATTAGTCTTAATATTCATGTCCAACATCTCGAAGAAGCAACAGAGTTTCTGAAAATTAGAGGCTGGATTCTCCAAATGTTTAGAAAAACAAGTTCATGTTACAAACATGCTGAATCTGGGCATGCCATCTGCTGTTGCATTGTGTTTTGTATGATCTCAACAAATTTTTTCACTCTCTCTAAGGCTATGTTGGTACTCCTGTGTATTCTCTTACATGGGTTATCTTTAATTCTGATTTTTTGAGCACTGCCATTCAAATTTAATATTCGGACTGTCTAATGTTGCAACATGTCCAGACTTTTCAGACATACCTTTTTTTGGATAGGATGCTATTGGTGCATGTTATTTGAACATCAAATATACCGGTAGATGGTTTCCATGCTGAACTTCCTGCCACTGCAAAAAAAAATTGGGAAAGTTCAGTCCAGTGAGAGTTCTCTTAAAAGATGGTATAACTCAACACATCGCTAATCTAAATAGGTAAATGTTAACTTAAAATTAATGCTATGAAATAACCACTTTTAAATCCAGGAAGCTGAAGATGAGAGGATGGGGCGCATGGAGATGGAGCAAAGAGTACAAAAACTGTCACTTCAACTTGAAAAGTTACAGTCACAAGTTAATCAGGGTGATTATAGGATCTCTAATTTTGATCATGTGAGAAGGTGAAGAATGTAAAATAAGTGAGCTTTTTCTCTTGTTTTATTTTCAATAAAAGTGATTATAATAATTTAAATATTTTTGATTTTGGTGTAATGGTTTTATTCTTTGATTTCTGGTGTACATGGGTTCTCATTATGGGCTTTAGGTTTGAGCCGTCTTGAAATTAAAAGAGAGAGTGGCCTGAAATTTGCTGTACAAAACTCAATTCACCTTCTGAGCGTCAGATTTCACATTTTTTGTGCTTTGGCAAACCCGGTTCAAAACATCTGTTCTCTCTACTTGGAACATGTTTGCTACTTCAAGTTAGCGTTAACTTATATATTTTCCTTCCCTTTCGCTGATTAAAAATCTACTTTTTAACCTGGGTGGTAAAACAGAAAAAATATTCTAACATGGTTTCAACAAAGCGCTTAGAAATTGGTTTTGCCAGGTTAAACTGATGAAGACTTTATAGTTCATTATACGGCAGTGTGCTTACATTTTCTCTGTTTTTTTATGTTTATTCTTGTGTCCCTGAAATACAAATCCAGTGTAAACATTTTTTTGCTAAACATCTTTTCAACCTTTTGCCATCAACTGGCTGCCTGGCATTTTTTTAAAAAGGAAAATGTCAAACAACAAATAGCCAAACGGTTTTGTAGGTTTGATTTGTGACCATTTCAGCTGCTGAGACGGAAATTTCCACTGCAAGCACTGCATCGTCTGTACTATTGTTATTCTTTGCTTTTCTTGAACCTTAAACTCTTGGGGTGAAATAAAGTTGAAATGTTGTTGTTGTTGTTGGGCAGAAATGAGGGTCCGAAAGTGAGTTTGTTTTACAACAAAGGTCATCAAAAGTCACGTGAAACTACACATGAAATCTGACGCTCAGAAGGTGAATTGGCAAGCTGCCTACTTTTACATCCTAGCTGTCCACTTTAAAACTTACACGTAATGAGAACCCTGGACTCTAGGGAAGTGCTCCGTACATACTTGGTGGTGATCAGAAGTATGAACCTGGTTTATTGGCCTTTCATGGCTTGTTGCATGCAAATAAATGAATGATATGCATTTTTCATTAATTTTAATAGTGAACGTGACAGTTTGGATAGAGATGTGGTGGAGCTGAAGAAAAGCAATACCTTGTTAGATGCTGCCCTGAAAACAAAATCCGACAGTTTAATTGATTTACAAAAGGAGGTACATGTAAACAGAAGCAGAGTACCATATTCATGATATATATTTCCATCCTATAACTTGGTGAAACCCTGACAGGGTTCTATCTAGGGTATTTGAGGGGTAGAAGCTTTACCCCCCAAAATATTGTTATCATTACAGTATATAAGTAACTATATCGAAAAAAATCATCAAGACGCGACGAGGTTAATAGTGCACACACTGTAACATTCCTCAAAATTGTGTCTCAAAAATTATGCACCAGATTGCATCTCATTGCATATTCATTTCATAAAATTTCTGGGGGAGGGGGGGGAAAGCTTGTCACCTTCGGCCACTCAGGACTTCTCCCCCAAATGGTAAATCCTAGATAGAACCCTGCCTGAATTTGACATCCATCAAAGATTAATGTTAAACCTCAAGTTATTACACATCATGTCCAATACTCACCACTTGTTCAAGTTGTAAAATCTAAGACTCAAGTGGTATGAGTTGTTGTGCGATTGGTTCAAGTGGTGAATGTGATACGTTTGAGTGAAATTAGAAATTAAGTGTAGTAGCCTAACAGTTTTTCAAGGTTTGTTTTTGTTGTGTTTAACATTTTAGATATATGTTGTAGTTAATTTTTTATCTCAGGTAATTTTTCTTTTTGTTTTGTTTTTGGGTATGGTAATGCTTAATAGAAAATGTAAAAAGTTGTAATATTTTGTATTTATAATTATTATATAATGCTTGGAAAGTATAAAAATTTGGTGGATGAGAAGCTGTAATTTTGGCTAAAGCCTGGCAAGCCTAAAGCATAAGCATAGGGACATGACACCCACAGAATGGCATATTTTCTCCGACCCAATTCTTTCTTTTATGTCGAACATGAATCTCAGCTCTGCTCAAATGGTCTGATGAAAATAAACAAGATGGTGGATGATTCTTCAACTTTATGCAAATTCCATATTTTGAGCCCTTCGCTTTTTTGATTTATTGACTTCTGATCATCAACATGAACAAACGCATACATGTCAACTTTTTTTTGCTGAAAATATTAGGAAGAAGGCAAGGAAAAAGATCAAGTTTCACCGATGTTCATTTCGAACGTCAATGTAAAACAAGTGTGTGCAGATTTTGTAAAATAACCCAATTTTTTTTTTTTTCGTAATTTCTAAAGTTTGCTGAACTGTATGTGTATTCCGTTTCCTGAACCTTGGTCAAAAGGATCATATCTCCACTGCCATGCAATGATACTCAAGGTAGAACGTAACATCAAAACGGATAAAATCATCTGTTTTTCACTAATTTGAAAAATGTGAACTTTTCTCTGTGCCTTAATTGTTTGAGAAAAAAAAAAAAAATTATTAGTGTTCATTATTTTTGGCTCAAAACCTGTTGTTCGTTATTTGCATTTTTCTAGGGACATTAATGGCACATTTGACCCAATTCTCGATACCAGCTCTGCTCAACCTGATGATAAACAAGATGGTGGACGCTTCATTCGCCATATTGCTTTTGATATGTTCGCATGGGCATACATGCCAACTCTCTCGGAAAAGGCGCCAATCTCCCGCTCTTCCACGTGGGTCATCATATCTCCCGGATAAAATCATCTTTTGAGCTTTTCTGTGCCTTATATAATTAGTTTGAGATTTAGCCAATTTTTAGCTCAAAACTTGAATTTTTCTTATTCGCAGTATGGTTTCTGGGGCATTTTTACACGTATTTAGTCACTGACAACAATTATTTCTGGCATCAAAACAATGATTGCGAATTTTGATAGTATGTACTTCATGTAAGACTTCAATCATTCCATTGGGGGCTGGGTCAATTTGTCGGGGGGTGGGGGGGAGTGAAAAAAAGATAGTCTCTAGCTTTTAGATCTTCAGAGGTTGGCATCTCTGCATGAGGTCTGGGTCAAAGTGGCCTATGATTGGTCCACGGCCTTGTGCTTATGCTTGTGCTTATGTCGACCCCGTTTTCACTTGTCAAAGCTACGACATAAGCGCAAACACAAGAAGAACTAACTTGTCCATTTTTCTTGTGCTTATGTTTATGCTGTATGTTGACCCAGTTTTCACTTGCTTACACATGTGCTTGTGCTTATGGCTATGCGCTAGTGAAAACCAGGCTTAATTGCCAATATTAACAAGATGAAATAGACAGCTGTTATGAAGCCCCTGTTAAGGAGTTGACACTGTATGTCTGATAATTCTTTATGTTTAGTTGCATGCCAGTCAACAGACAGTATCCTTGCTGAAACAAGACAAAGAGTACATGAACAGGCAACTGCAGGAGATTAGAGGCAGATGTACTTTAGCGGAGGAACGACTGGAGCAATCATCAAAACAGCTTGAAGAAACAAAACAGGCCAGAGAGGAACTTTATGAGAAGTACATCAGTGTTAGAGAACAGTACAAGTCAGAGTATGAGTTGAGATTAAAAACTGAATTGGATGATATTAAAGGAAAGACCTCCATTGAACTGGACAGGATAAGGGTAGATACTAAAGAGATGTTTGAAAGAGAAAATAGGTAAGTGACCTGAAGGGCAGAGGAGGACTAAGCACTCAGGTTTATTATAGTGACAGGCACTGGACGAAATGCACAAAATAAATATGTTGCAAATATGTTGCAAATGTGTAAATACTGAGGAGTAATTATGTGGCAAAGATGGTAAATGCCACATTTGCATACCAAAAAAAAAAATGGGAGATGTAAATAACTCGGGAAATGTGGCATTTACCATGTTTACCATGACTGTATTATTATCGTCAGTATTTATATTTGCAAGGAGCAAATTTGTGCACGTCCATTTTTTTGTCCCATGAGGGAGATGCAAATAGGATCAAATAGTTGTACCCAAATCAAAGTAATATTAACTTGCTTAAGTGCAACCTAGATCGTATACCAAGACGTACGGAGATAGGGCATTCGCTGCTCATGCACCAAGAGAATGGAACTTAATACCCTATGAAATTCGGAAGTTCAACACCATCTCGAGTTTTAAAAGATCACTTTAGACATACTTGTTTACTAAATTCAGTAATAACGGATCATTGTTTTCATAGATTTGTATATATTCCATTAGTTTTAATTTTTCCCTTTTTTTATCATTATGAATAAGATGGTTTAATAGTTGCTTTAGTTTTAATTTTTTCCTTTTTTACTCATTGTAAATATAATAGGATATGGTTGTAAATTTGTAAATATTTTTCAATAATGTTGTTTACATGACTGTAAAGCGCCTTGAACATAGGATAAGAGCGCTATAGAAATAAAGTTATTATTATTATTATTAAGTTAACTGAATAGGACTGTCTAGTTATGAATAGCATCTATGAAGTCTCTTTTTATCCAAGGAAATTAAAACCACCCTACTGGATATATATTGAACATCAGTAGGATTTTTTTCTCAAATCTTTGTTATTTATTTTTGTTGTAGGAATCTTCGAGAAGCAAGAGACAATGCCCTGGAGGAAAAGGAACGTGCTTGTGTCAGTGAGAAAGAAACAACTTCAAAATATGATCTACTTCAATCTGAGTAAGAACTTTATGACTTGTAAAGTGGTTTCTTTGTCATTTGCATGATTCTTTTCTCTGTGTTATCATAGAAACCATGATTGTGTTTAGAAAGATGTTGGACGGTTCAACAGGGGTGTAGCCAGCAATTTTCACACAGCATACTTTATCACAGAATATACTTTATCAAACACTGTGGTCTGACTTGTGATGAACAGTTTACTCAGCTAGCATTTCAACAAGAAGGAGGTACCTTGGATGCGTCTGTGTAAAAAAGATGTGATTGTTGAACTTATGTCAAGAGCCTACTGTAACAGATGTTTATTAGAGTAGCCTGCATGACAGGTGCTGTATGGGCCAAGTGAGTCTAACGGGGCTTTTCCATGAAGCGCGAAAAGAGTGCAGACGGTGAGATGATCAAGGGGATGGGAAAGAATAACCCAGGAATAAGTTAAGCAAATCCAGACAATCGCTCTCTAGACATGACCACTCTTGAGTGAATTTTCAGTCGACACAATCTACTGAACAATTACTCACATTCTGCTAATGTAATTGGCAACTTACATAATTAAGGTCAAACAAACTTGTCTATGTTTTAGTAGAAAGAACTGACGGTCACTTTCTGCCAAGGCATCAGCTGCATGGTTCAACTTGATGCTGAAGTGGCTTGTAATACTGAAAGGCATAGTGTGATGTGGGTATAGTGATGATGAATTATTTGAATACCACATCTAATAGGCTGTTCGCCTTGCTATTGCTGTCGGTGTCCCAGTTCCGGGTAATTTCCTCAAATTGATTTGCAAACGGCTGGTTAAGGGTCTTAAGGCTGGTTTTCACTAGTGATGGAGTCGGCAGAATCATAAGCGGAGTCGTAAGAGTGCTTATGACCTTAACTTGTGAAAGTAAAAAATCAGAGTCATAAGCAGAGTCATGTGTGTGACAGAATTAGAGTCTTCCGACTTTGCTCTCCGTCACTTACAGTCCAGTAAAAACCAGATTGTCAGAGTCGGAAGGATGAATCAATCACAATGTGATTGGTTTAGTTCTACTGCTTCTGCTTGCAACCCCGCCAGCCTAGTTTTCACTTGATCATAAATGACAGAGCTCATGAGCGAAATCACAACACTGTGTTTTCACTAGATCTTTATTCACACTTCTGATTATGACTTTGACTATGTGCCAGTGAAAACCAGCCTTTGCCTGACAAAGCTTCTGCTCTCAGCACTGATGGTAGAATGAAAAGGAAACTTCATGTTCTTCATGGCCTTCAACCAGCACCGTGTTTCACATTAGCTGAGCAATGTTGTCTTGCAGACTTCTTGCTGATCTTCATTATCATAATAACATTGTAACCCTTGATATAGTATGTGATGCCTTTCTGATTTTTTTGTCTTCTTTGCTTGAAATATAGCCAGTTTCATAGCCTAAAGAGGGGGTTCTGGAAGCCCGGCCTAGAACCCTCCTCTGGCTATGACACCGTTCGGTACATGAAAAGATTGACGTTTGAACTGGGCTTTAGCTACATGAGACTGGTGGGAGGTAAGACCACTATAAAAACTAGCGTTATTAATGTGTTGCTTTTTACTTTGTTGTAGATTTCGACAGTTACAACTCTCTGCTGACAGCAGACAGTCTGATCTGCAGAAAGAGATAAATGTCAAACAGTTTGAGTTAGAGAAAATGCAAATGATCCTTGATGAGACAACCAGCAATCTACGTCAGGCAAAACTAGAGGCTGAAAAATATCAGAGCAAGAGTGAAGTATGATTATCATCACAATTATGATTGTCAGTTAGAACTTGTCATGAATCTATTGTATAAATGACATTATGGACAGCCAGCTTGTCAAAGTGTACTAGTAATAATTTACCCACATTAGTAATTTTCCAAAGTAATATTGGCATTGTGGGATTTGTGTTATTCTGAAGTTTTCCATCTTTCCTTCTGTGCTTCTTGTTGCCTTTGCTAAACAATGAATGGATCAAGTCTAAAAATGAATGTGATCTCAGTCATACTTGTCATCAAAATGTGGAACCATTTATAGGCAAAGAACCCGAGAGGCCAGCCCTCATCTTCCGTCCAGATCCCCTTTCCTCCCCTCCCCAGTGTTGACCAAAGGGGCTTACTTAAATTAAATGGGGATCCTGTGCCATAGAACTGACAAAAATTACTGTCAGACCCTTGATGACAAATCGTGTTTCCTTGGATGGCATTTCTCATTTTGAGGTTTCATTTCATGTTGCAGAAACCGGCCAGTTTCCGAGTCTGCAACATTGAATTGTCCACTGTTAATTCAACTAGATTTTTTTCTCTCTCTCATCTAATTCTTACATTTATTTTAGCACTTCTAATTCGTGATACCTTAATTGCAATAGTAGTTTCATATGTTTGCATTTCAGGTATTAAGTAAGGAATACTATTCTCTAAAAAATTCTTCTGAAAGAAGACTTGTTGAATTGGAATCAAAGTGTAAGGAGCAGGGTGACAAGCTGGCAGTCTATGAAAAGCTGGAGCAAGAACTGGATGATGTTATCATGCAAGCTGCAGAAAGTACGAATTTGAGAAATTCTGTATTATTTTTCAGTTATTGAAAGTATGCTCCATAAGTGCTAGGATATTAATAATACTGACAATAAATTTTAGTCATGGAATTCCAATGTTGTAGAGTCCAGGCTAATAAGAAGAAGTGATCTCTTTTGCAAATTACTCTCCTCTAACTTTTTTTTTGGACAAATGGCATCACCATTCTACATCTTACTGTATGTACATTGATTCACAATGGCTTCATGGGTCATACATTGTTTTCTCAATATGGTTTTGGGATTTTAGGGCCTGCAAACATTAAATCATATTGACAATAGAAACATGAGGTAGGTAAGTTGAGTACGATTGTCTGGATGAACATAGTCCTGAATAGGACTGTTGTTGTTTTGACAACCTGTGCGGTATAGTCATCTTCAGAGTCAAAGTGAATTGTGACAATACCATCAACTGGCGTGATACAACTCACTTTGACTCTGAAGATGACTACTGCTCAGGTTGTCGAAATGTCAGTCACTGTCAACAAGAACAGTCCTATTCAGGACTACATTCACTCCGACGATCATACTCAACCTACTTAAGAAATGACCCCTGGGCTCAAACCTTTCACAGAAACTTGCAGTTCGGAGCAAAAATCAGAAGTACATGTAACTGATCATTTATAAGCGTGTGGTGCAACAATGTCCAGAATTGAGATAAGAATTCACATTAAATACCATGCATTACAATAATAATTACACATAGCAATGGAAGATATCACAAATGCATTTTTGCAATCTACAATCTTCACCAAAAATCCTTGAAACACCTACAGTGTATACACATTCCTTTCCCTATGCAATGTTGAGATGTGATTGCAAAGTTACATGACTACAACAATATTGCAAAAGGGAGGGAGGAAATGAAAGGGAGTAGAATTCTTCAAAGTGTTTCAAGGTTTTTGTCTGAGCTTGTAAATGGTCATGGCAATTCACATCCTGTTAATCTTGAATTGTCTTTTAGTTGAGAATGAATCAGATGCTGAAAGAGTTCTATTTTCCTATGGTTATGGTGCTAATGTACCAAGCACAGCCAAGAGGAGAATGCAACAGAGGTAAAAAAAAAATATTACTATAATTTTTGTGAGGTTCAAAGTGAAAACTATTTAAGTTGACCCTGCTCAGATTAATAAAATATTTTCAAATTATCATTGGAGGTGTGTGTGGCTGAGCGGCCATTAACACCTCAAACTCCAGATCTGGAGGTCTGTGGTTCAAGCGTCGCGCGTCAGGTTGTTTTCTTAGACAAGGAACCTTACTACACTTTGTCTCTCTTCATGTGAATGTATAAGTAATACTGGTGACCTACTGCTTGTGGGTAACCCTGCAATGTACTAGCATCCCATCCAAGCGGGGAGGAGCATGCTTCATGCTAAAGAAACTAAGATAAGCTCCCACCGTTAGGGCCTTTGGCTTGTTTGCGCCTTAACTTTACCATTTACATGTACTATTTCATTCTCAGTCTCATTTATAATTTATGAAGAGAAAACAGAGGCAGTCACTTCTTCTTAATTACCACAAAATTTCATGAACTTTAACTTTCATTTTTTTTAAGAACCATTGTTCATTTGAGAAGCTACCTATAACACTCCTCTGAGTGTTACATACCTTAAAGCATGAGCCCATCACCCGGAGCGAGCAACTTACATGTGCCTGGTCACGGCATTTTCATGGACCAGTTTATTTTTAGAACAGTCTTGGCACAAATTTTGAATATCTTTTAAATTCCACAAACCACTCAGCATAACCTACAGACCTAAAAATGATATATTTTGCCTTTTAAGAACATTTAGTTTTCCTTTTTGAAATTATATACTTTGAATGTGCTCATAGACATGGTAGAGACTCTATTTTCGTGGGAAAAAGTGCCCTAAAATGTGTCTAAAAATAAACTGGTCCGTAAAAATGCGGTCACATAGGCCTAGTATGGGAGTTGCTCACTCTGGGTTTATGGGCTGCTGCTTAAAGTTGGTCTTAAAGAACTTGGCCTTGCCTAATATATCACTTGAATCCACTTCAGCTCAGTGTCTGGTTATGAAACACTGCATGTCATGTCATGTTTAGAATATTACATCAAACGTCTATCAATTGGTTTGTCATCAAGCTTCCACCCTCTATTTAGAAACTTAATTAACCAGATTCCTGGAAGACCAGGCTCCAAAAAATCGATCGTTGGACCACTTGGCATATAAAGTGGCCACATGTAACCCTGTTATTAAAATGGCTCCTTGGACCTTTCCTTTCGTGAGGGTACCCACCTCACAGAATTTTGTCTGTATTGTTATTGAATTAATGTTGAATGATGACCAGGGTTCGTACAGAGTCTTGAATTCTTGAAAAAGTCTTGAAATTTGTCCAGTTATTTTCCAGACCGGGAAAAGTCTGGAAAATAGAGATGAAGTCCGCAAAAGAATGAAAAAGTCTTGATTTTTTTTTCAAAGATACAACAAGTGCTTTATAAGTGAATTTTTTTTTGTTTTTGTCAAATCTTATTTATCCTTGCTCATATGTTTGCAGCACACCACAAAAAAAGCTTTTGTTCCTGCGTTTTAAGGTCTCTATTGATCACCTATTTGGGAAAAGGTCTGGAAAAAGTCTTGAATTTTGGATCCAAAAATCTGTGCGAACCCTGGATGACCTTTCTAACTCAGACCAGGGATTCACCCCCCACCCCTCAGTACCCTTATGACTCATGATGCTGTTTGTTTATAGTGTTCACTTAGCTCGGAGAGTGCTTCAGTTAGAAAGAGCAAACACATCACTCAGAGATGATATGGAAAGGGAAAAGAAAAAGAAGGACTTGCTTGGAAAAGAGGTAATGACAACAAACACACATACAGATTGACGCCTTCTCTTAGCCTGGGTATGTAAGGGTAGCTTGCAAATGCAATTTCTTTCTCCTGAGAGAAGCAACAGCTGGAAAATAAATATGTCTGTGTTTGCAAGCTGCCGTGAAATTGAATTTAAGGCTCATATTTCTGTAAAAAAGTACTGCATGCCAGAGAAGTAGTTATTTACTTCATTCTCCTGTCAACTCCAACTTTCGACTTATCGGGAGTTGACTGCACAGTCAAAGGTCCAGTATATATAAATGGACCTGTATATAGTGGTCACCCAGTATATTACAGTCGCTGATCAACTTCCCAAAATTTTCAACAATTGGCTTATATTTTCTTTAAAGTTGACGTGTATATAGCGGTCATCCTGCATATAATGATCACCTTGCCATTTCCCAAGAGTGACCGTTGTACACAGGTTTGACTGTGTGTACTTTTGCACTGAATATTGCCTTGTGATACCAAAATTGGAAGCAAAAACCTTTTAGTCCTATATCACATAGATTGAAATGTTTTCGTCAGAATGGATACAGTTGCTTTGTATGTCTTTATAGTTGTCCAAGGCCACATCACTGTTGAATGAAGCTCAGCAACCTTACAACTACTTGATTGAAAGCATAAGAGCACGGGATGCACAAAATCAAACTCTCACTGAACAGCTAACTTTGATGGAAGAGGATATGAGGTCAGTAATGATTCTTGTTGCCTGGTAATCGTCAGTTGTAGTTGACTACTAATGGTAATAAGTCTAGTGGGCCCAAGGTCATGGGTTCATTGAAGTGGTGTTAAGCCACAATCTCAGTTCAGATAATCATGTCTCTTGTTCAAGTGATGTTAGACCTTGCATAGACTTTGTTTCCTTATTTTATCCTTTCTTATGAACTCGATGGGGAAGTAAAGAACCTTCTTTGTTGTCTGAGAATTGTGGGTGCCAAAATGTCTTTTGTGGCTTCTGCGGGGAATGGCCCAGAAATTAATAATTATTACTCGCGCAAGCTGTTGCGATACCCCTGCCAAGTGTGTTGGAGGCAATTATTTTTATTTTGAAATTATAATTAACTCATTCTTTGAGGCGGTCGCAACGAAGACTTGACTTTCTTTTTCCTTTTACAGCAAGTTGAGGGCTGAAAAAGAAGACCTTGTTAATACTCGTGATCAGCTGTCTGCAGACTTGGAAAGACTTCTTAACCAGCGCGAGGTAATTTATGAGTCAGTTTCACTGACAAAGAGAAAGCACTTACAATTGAATCAGTACATGTACTTCCACAATTTATTTTTTTATTTTTATAGTAAGGGTATGAAAGTACTGCTCAGTCTTAGGCAAGTTATGGGCATTTTCTTGCCAAATGAGGTTACCATGATGGTAAAATTAGGACCGTTAAAACCACCTATGGTTTAGGTTTGATTACATATGAGCCAAAAACAATAAACTTCTCAGTCTGCTCTCTTTCTTATCATTGAATACATGTAATGGGCCTTTTTATGAGTTGCCCCAAGCAATGTTCTCCGAACCCCCTTGCGCTAAAAATAGAAGCAAAAGGAGGTACTCCGGCAATTAGACTACAATTCTAAGTAACTTACACTGTACATAGTATTATCACTGATTCTTGCAGGAGATGGCTGTGATGAAGCAAGCCATTCTTGGTTTACATTCTTCTCGAAGTTCAGGGCAAGTTGCCAGAAATTCTAATGCCTTTCATGGGCGTGAATCCCATCTCAGAACTTCTGCGATTAAGGATGCTGTTTCTTCGCAAGCTGCACATCGCCCAAAACCAACGATATTTGTAAGTGTGAAAAGTTGTTGGTGGTTTGTTGTTTGATTGTCGTTAAGTGGATTTTTTGAATATAAGCAGTGCACATTGTAGGCACCAGCAGTCCTTAATAAAGCTGCTAATTAAAATAAATAAAACTCATACACCAAATTTTAAGTAAGAGTACTTTAGAAGGAGGAAACATACATGTATGGTTGATCCTGATCATGTTATAATGCTTAAGTCTGTTACCGTAAACTATGAAAAAGACTCATGCACTCATTTTTGGCACAATCTGTTTTTCACATGCTAAAAAGAGTTCATCAAAATATCATAACCAGTCATTTACCTGTTATCATAACTAGACTAAATCAGATCCACCAACCTGGTACAGAAAGCTAAAGAGTCAAAACTTAACTGGACGGACAACACATGCGTAAGTATTATTTGAGCACACCACCACCCAAAAAGTAACAGTAGCTTGCCTGTGAGTGGGACTATATGACAAAACCCAAACAAAGAGCAGAGCAGGGAGAAAATGGCGAGATGAAAAGGAGAATTTCCTGGGTCAATTTTCCCACTCTGCTCTCCATTTTTCACTGCTCCACAAGCTGAACACCTGCAACACTATTAAGTTGTTTTAAAAACTGAACAAACAGGAATTTGGAAATGTTGATTTTGGGGAAGGAAGAAAACTGTTAAGCCTGGTTTCCACATGATCGTCCCGATTGTCCCAGTTGTCTGATAAAATGTTCAGACGATCGGGACGATCATATGGAAACGCTACCTGGACAGCCTACTGCAAATAACCCGGACCACTAGGAAACCTCAATCGCTTGGATAGAAGTGAGTTCTAGACGATCGTGTAAATTTCGAAACAATCAAAAGCTATCCCAGAGATCATCACTTTTATTCCAGTAATCGGGGAGAAATCGTCTGGCCTCGGGACACCACTGAAGCAGAAAGAAAAATACAAAAATGTTTGTACCGCGCATGGTCAATATCTGAAAAAGAGATAGTCCCCTCTAAGTTCTTGACGTGATGCTGTGTCTTAGTGGAACACTTGTAGCTTGTTACGCCGCAAAATCGAGAGAATGAGCAGATAGCAAGCCACAAGGTTCACTCTCTGATTAAAACCCACTATTATGTTTGGCATTTTGTGAAACACGTGCAAAAATTCCGTTGTCTTCGAGGCAATCGAGACGATTGTATGGAAACCACCAATCGTCCCATTCGTCCGGATCGTCTCGAAATTTGTTGAAACAACTGGAACAATAGTTACAGTCCAGACAATCATATGGAAACCAGGCTTTGGGATTCAAGACATCCCAGAGGAAGAGCATTCAACTGTATTGAACTAGTTGCTAGCTCGAAAACCTTACGGTTATCTAGCCGCTAGGCATTTCCTTCTATGTAATAATATTTAGTTTAAATTGTAATTGAATATTCTACGTGTTAAGTTACTAATTATTCAATAAGTTTGACAAACCCTGTAATGGAAATGTGAATAAAGTGTTGTTGTTGTATCCCAGCAGTGAGTGAGGGATAGTGGTAAAGTTATGACTGAACTGACAACTGCAAAATTATGACTGAATTATGAAAGATTTCAAAGCCACCCAGGCACATGACTTTGTCTTGTAGGATATGGCATGAGACCTTAAAAGACAACAACATTAATGGAAATAGCTGTATACAAAGTCATCTTTCAGATCCTTTTTGTCACCTTTATTGCCCCATTGTAAGCAATAATAATAATAATAATATACAGTATTTATAGAGCGCTAATTCCCAATGGTCCAAAAGCGCTTTACATAATAAAATAACAACAAAATCCTAAACCTACAAAACTGCATTGTCATTCTACAAAATTCCCAGTGGTCCAAAAGCGCTTTACATATTAAAAATAACAACAAAATCCTAAACCTACAAAACTACATTGTCATCCTATAAAAACATCATCATTCTATACGACAACATCATAACCAATTTTAAAAAGCCAAGTCTTGAGCTTAGATTTAAAAGAAGAAAGGGAATTACAAGATCTAAATTCGAATGGAAGTGCATTCCAAACAGAAGGTGCAGCAATAGTTAAAGACCGGCCACCATAAGTTTTAAGATTAAATTTAGATGTAGAAATAGTAAAAATTGATTGGAGGATCTAAGAAGTCTACCAGGTGTATAAGGCGTGATGAGATCAGTGATATAGTTAGGTGCAGCACCATGAAGCGCCTTAAATGTAATTACTGCAATTTTGAAAGTTATCCTTTGTTCAATTGGTAGCCAATGAAGTTGAATAAGCAACGGCGTAACATGCTCATATCTACTAGTAAGGTGAATAAGCCTAGCAGCACTATTTAGGACACTCTGTAAACGTTTCAAGATACATTTAGGCTGACCGTAGAGCAACGAGTTACAATAGTCAGTCCTTGCGGTAACAAAGGCATGAATTAGAGTTTTACATGTATCGTAAGAAAGAAACTTGCGAATCTTAAAAATATTGCGTAAATGAAAAAGCACACCTTAAAATTATTTAACCCTTTAAGCCCCAATGTCCACATATAAATTCTCCATACTGATCTTCATACATTTCTTTAAAGAATTAGTTGAGAGAGTTTAATAACAGATCAAAGCATATTTTCTTTAGCGATCATTTTATGAACTCTCATAACCATTTCTCTTGGCAACATATGGATATTGTTAGGAGAAAATTGATGTTGGTCACTATTGGGACTTCAAGGGTTAACACTTAACTTTAGTTTTCTCTTTTGTTTTAGATCGTCATGACAAGACGTCCTCTTACACTCACTTCGTTTGGCCAAATGGTGCTAGCAATAATATTATTTTATCAAGATAAAAGATAAAAATTTGTTGAAAGATGTATTGTGTATTGTATTTTACAGTTTTCTCTCTGAAAATGATACCTCAAATGATACACTCTTCTCAAATGTAAAGAAGTATTTTATAAAGAAGGTTGTAGAAAAATAGTTTTATTAGACTGATGAAGTGCCAGCCTAATGCATCAGTCAATTCCACCTGCGCCCAGGCCCCCCCCCCCGGGCTGACCCCCGGGAATTGGAATTTTTTTTGCCTTGGATGGCAAATTCCCGGGGGTGGGGACTCTTGAGCTGGCAAATCCCCCGGGGTGGGGAAGAAAAAAGAGGGCAAATACCCCGTCCTCCGTCAACAGTGCAACATTTTTTATTGATCGCACAGTCCAATAGTGCCATTTTAAAGTGCGATTTTTTGTTTCAATTAACGTCTTAATTCCTTTGTAATAGCGCTAGGATTGTAATTAAGACTTCACGCCGCGACGACATGCACCATTTTATGGTTTTAGTATTGATATAAAATTATTGACATTAAAATTAATAGAGCGCTGTAAAGTTATATGTTATGAATAGTTTTATAAATATGAAAGGGTGTTCTTCAAATAATATCAACGGAAATTTGATTCAATAACCAAAAAACGTTGATTCACATCGATAGCTCCAATTTCGCTATGTAATTCTGGCTTGATAAGCAATGAAGAAATGCATACATACATGTAAAATCGAGAACATGCCTTTACAACCCTCTACAATTTATTCCTGTCCTTGACAGATGAGCCAATCTGCTTTTTTTCCAGTAAAACCTTCTGTGTAGTTATATTCTGATAGGAAATTCAGAAACTAATAAAGCATAACCAACACTATCAAGCCTGCACAGAAAAAGATTAGATTCAAGGCTTTCTGCATAAAGTGGCATCTAACCCTGCACTGTCCTGAAGCTTTTTTGTCTGAATATCCTCAAATCCATGTTTCTTTAAGATCTCTTTGTACTCGGCTGCTGTCCGTTCCTTGCCACTTGTCAGTACCGGCATGTTCAGGGATTGCAGAAGAGTCCTCTTAGGCCCGCGTTTGTCATCACTTAAAAACATCTCAGCAATGAGAAGACCTCCACCTGAACATAATTACATGGGAAAATCTTTTGTATGGAATATCACAAAGACCGAATCTTTAAGAATATTGTTTTATTGTACATTGTTTTGAAGAAAATAAGCACAAAATCTGCTTTGCATTGAACACATTATTTTTGACATTGCTCTTGGAAATCACACGTGCAACCTACAGATTAGTCATAAATCTGCTAGCAGATAACTAACTAATCTGTAGGTTGCACTGATTTCAAAAATTAACTGTAGTCTCTTAGCCAATGAGAAGACAGATAATGGAAACAATGCATAATGAAAAAAGTTATCAGCAGGGTCTAATAATTCATTTATTTATCTAAAACATGTTAATTGGAGAAGAAAATACTTTCGAGCAAATATAAAGAAAATCCAACATTTTAGGACAGCTGACAGCATATTATTACTTTAGATCCAGTTTATGATTTTGTAATACAGTGGAAGCTCGATTTAAAGGAGCTGTGTCACGAAATTCAGCCAAATTAGGAAATTACAAAATGCCCCTTAAATTAAGAGAAACATAAAAATAACCGCTTAAAACTTTAAAGGAATGTTAAAATAACATAACAGAAACAACAGATGCCACGGATGGGTAAAACTGAAGAAGATTGAAACGGATTGAAATTAGGGTTTTTGAAAACTGTTTAGCCTAACAGTTTTTCAAAGTTGATCCCTGCTGCTTGCAACTTCAAAAATAATGTTCAGGAGACATATTTGTTTGTCTCGGATCTCTGATTTTGTCATTTACCTGTAATTTCATTGCTTTCGTTAAGTTCCATAGCGATTGAGGGTGAGTGATTGGCAAAATTAAACAAAATGAACTGGACTGCAGTGACACAGCCCCTTTAACGAACCTCTATATAATGAAGTCCTAGGTATAACAAACTACTTGCTTCAGCCCGGCCAAAATTACGATAAAATGTATGGAACAGAGCCTTCATATAACGAACCTCAATCTAATGAAATCCTCGTTATAACGAACACAATCCTGAAACGCGAACGTAAACTATACCTGGATATAACGAATAAATGTCAACATGTGACTGAAAGAGAACAAAAGATGAATGCGAAACAGGCCATTCATCTGCCAACAAGGATAAAATTTATGTCTACAGTAGTTTTAAGCAGTTTTGTTCGCCTGTTTTTGTGTTTCTAGTGTCGTAGGTATTGTACAGCTCTGAACTTAGCCAATATCTTCATATACAAATGTTTATTACAGAAATTGGTCAGATCCGGAAATGCAGGGCGTTGGATATTAATCATTAACTATACCTCGATATTATGAACGTTAAATCATGGTTTTCGATATAACCAACCCCATAATGAACAAATTTCCCCAGTCCCTGGGCACTTCTTGAAATCGAGGCTCCACTGTAGCTGCACATATTTTCATATCTGGTAACTAAAGATTACTTTTTAGTAATCATTTTAATTTGTTTTAGTAATTATTTTTTATTTTAGTAACAAGTGTTCACATGGTCAATCATGCAGAACAGCAGCAACAAATTAGTTAGTGATGACTAGGGCACATACCTGAAGGCAAACATGTGAAGACATTTGTGAGAATCGAGTCAATTTTATCAGCCGACCAGTCATGAAGAATTCGCTGCAACACATACAACTCAGCCTTAGGTAGATCAGTTTGGAAGAAATCACCTACCACGTAAGAAACATTTGCTTGATTGAGACACTCTTCTGGTGTTGGCTGGAAATGATGAGCAGATTCCACAACTGATTGCAGGTCACATACAGTGATCTTCATGTTGGGATAGTATTGACACAAAGTGTAAGCCATAGCTCCTGTTCCACCTGAAATTTGATATGATCACTAACATTATTTACTAGTAACAACCAAAGGTTACAGAGTGCTTGTGACAACGATCGAAAGTCAAAATGCTTTTGCTCCATCTTTAAGGTTTGCGTACCTTTCACGTGACAGTCAAAACACGCGTGATCAGATTACGAGTGATTTAATCATGCACGTGATCAAATTATGAACTGTACATTCCATTCATTCTTAGTGGAAGTCCAAACGAATGCTAGCTACATACATGTGACGCATGCGTAATGACAACCTGGAAATTAGGATTGCAGGCGACAAGAGGAGCCTGCAATTATCTACAGTGTAATGTAGATATAGGTACACAACGTAGATACAGGTACATAGGAACAAATTTATAAGTTGGGGATGGGGGTTCCAGAAGGTACTGTGGAGACCTGAGGGCCAGGCTGGTACATGAACAGTTGTAGATTTCCTGGTAAAAAGTGGATGTGGTGGGGTTTCTACTACGGCCATGTATTAACAAAGTTCAAAGGGTCTAGGGTATTGTCCTAACGAGTTAAAATTTATCAGGTTACTGGGAAAGGAATACGGTATTGAACTTACTTAACTGGGGTATACTGGGGACTTTTTTTGTAGGGATTCATCATCGTTCCTCCCTCCAAGCCCAATGGGGTTACTGACTCCCATCTAAAAGGTATGGAAATGCTCAGTAGAAAATAAAAATTACCGTAAACTGATAGTAACGACCCCCCGAAATTACCGTCAATTTTTTGTAGCCACTAGTAAATCCCGAAAGTAGTGCCCCCCCGAAAGTAGCGACCCCCTGAATGTAGCGACCTCCCAAAAGTAGCGACCCCCCAGAAAGTAGCGAGACCAAGTTTTTTAAATTGTATACCGTATACCTTTAATTTGTCAATCAATAGTCAAAATTCTAATGTACAATAATACGTTCGTGCAGTGTCACAAATTGTTCCCGATAAGGCACTTTAATTTACAACAAGGGGAAGCTTTATGTCCCCCATTCATCCTTGACATCAGTTCACTGATGTAGCGATGTAAGAACTACCGTAATCTAGCATAATTTCGTATTAACAACAGGAACGTTTTTTCAAATTGAAATTGAAAACTCTATATAGTTTTCGTCGATGAACATGAACGTGTTTCTTCCGGTTAAATGACTCTGATATACAGACACGTGGTACAGACTAAAACGCAGCGGTGCGTCATGCAGGACAATCGCAGCAGTTTAGCTTTCCACTTCTGAGTCAGTGAAGAATTCGATCTCCTCTATATGAGGCCCTGCCGGGGTGGGTCCCATGTCGCTCGTCTGAATTTTAACACTTCTCGTGTCGGTGTTTATAAATGCTTCAAGTCGCTGTCGGATATTCAACGAAACTTGTTTGTCTTTCTCGGAATTTAGAAAAGGGGGATGGCGATGCGTTGTAAGGAAAGCATTACAGTTGTGCAATTTCTCAGCTAACATTTCGCGTATCGAACACCTATGCATCGCCATTCACAATTAACGGTTTTCGCGTTTCTTTCGGTAAATCCAAATTCGGATTTTTGATCTGATGAATCCTTTTTGAAAAAGGATTCATTGGATTTGAAATCCGAAGAATCCGAATCCAGATTAACGCATTAGTGATCTACGCCTGCATCGTACCCGGCTGTCTGTACCCTTCCCATGGTCCCTTGCGGTTCATCACCAGTCACTCGCGTTTCGCGCTCGCCTCTGCCATGCCAAAAACGAAGCGCCTGAGGAGGAGGCTGGATCTACGCTGTTCTATTCACAGTGGATTCGAAATTAGTCAGATGATCCAGCTGTATTTCCAATTGAAGTATTCCCGTAGAGTTTCCTAGTTGTTGCCATTTGCCGTAAAACGTCTCAAAACACTAGAAGATTGTTCTTGCTACAGTAAAATATCCATGTGCTGACCATTTGTCGCTAAAGATTGCTTAAAAACACAAATAAGTAAAAGGAACAAATAACTGCTATCTTTCTACAAACTCGCTTGTAGACGCCTTGGGCACTCAATGAAAATGAGCCAACAACCTTAAGATAATTTTCAACTTTAACGCGCTTCTTTCTTGATCTGTTCATCTTCCATCGTCGTTATTCGAACTGCCGACCACAAAATTCTGCACGGTATAATCGCATAATTTGACAAACGGTAGAAAACATGTCATTTCTTGAGAGGCTGTCATGCATATTGCACGCGTTTGGGAAAGGTTACCAAGGTTACAAATCCAATTTCGGATTTCACGTTCCTTTCGACCGCGAAATCCGGCAAATCTCGGATCAGAAATCCGTTTTTGGATTCGCTTAAAGGAACACTGTCAGAACACCTTAAGTGATCCACGTTCAACATTTTAAGACTTAATGACCTGATAAATCGTGAAGGCCGGTTAACGGTGGTCTACTCTGTGAGAGCGGCTGGAAGGTCGGTGGTTAGGTTACCTGGTCCCTGGTCTCTCCACCGTCGTCACCGTTCGACAGAGGTCGACAACGATGTCAGACGTTCAGGAACAAGCAAAGCATTTACCATTTTCACAAGGACCATAATGCACCTTGTTCCCCCCCCGCAAAAAAAAAACTTTCCATAACCATTGTTTTCGATTTCTCTTGGGACGACTGTAATACTCTGGAGAATTTGGAAACAATGGTTATGCAAAATTCTGAGGGGGAAACAAGGTGCATTATGGTCTATGTGAAAGTAGTGATTACAAGAGGAAGAGATGTAAAGCGTGCGTTAGGCTATCTGAAGGGAAACCTACAATGTAGTTCCCAGGTTTCCCAGGACCAACGCGACGCGCGCTCAGAAGGGTCAACTGAAACTCACTGACGAAAATTACTTCCTCTTGGCATTCAGCCTGGTAATAAATTAGCCAAACCACCGTTCTTTGTCGCACATTCTCGGCTTTGCCGTCACTGTCTCAATTTGGCCGAGGGAGCTTGTCGCTTGTCGCGATTTCATTTTAGGCATTGTCGCTACCAGGGGCACCCAACGAGGATGTAGTTCAAAACCACTTAACATAGCATTGTTGAACGTATTTTAGTATTTAAACGGTAGATATAGGCATATTTTTATCCTCTAAAAACTTTTCATCTGTTCGGATTTCCTAGCTGAAAGTCTAGTGATCCGAAAATTATAGGGGTCAAAACTTAACTTTTCGAAAATTTCAGCCGGGAAAAGGCTCCCGAAAATTCTAGGTGGCCTTTTTTAGGGTAAATATCCGTTTAAAATGGGTAATTATACCATTTTGTAGATGTTCGAAAATCCTAGGAGAGGCAGGCAAGCAAGAAATTTTACAACAAATGTTCCGAAAATTCTAGTTCTCAAATCGTCTTCCGAACAGACATTTTCCCGAAAATTGCCGTTGGGTGCCCCTGCGCTACTTTTTGGGTCATGTCACTTGTCGGAATTTACACTAGCAGGGTCTTATAATGAAATATGGCTGTCCATCTTAAGAAAGTCAGGCTGAGGTTTTCAGTCATTCTGTTTTGTCTTGGATGAAAGACTTATTGGTACCAACATTATCACAGAGTGTTTATCTACCTACCCCCTAAGTCACAACAGCTGTGGAAATTGCTCAAGTCAAATGCTGTAGCCACGGCGTGACAGGTATGGCGTGACGTGCTATGCATTGCTCCCAAAAAGCGTAACCGGGCTTCTTCGTTGTGGTAAGATGATTTCCACATATCTTCTGAGGACATACCAAACGTGTTCATCCACTGGGTCGAACCCTCCCTAACTGCGCTTTGTAAGTTACCGAAAAGTGGATAAACTAGTTTGGTTGAGTGCGTTATGTAGCCACCAACAGAATCAGGGCTTGATTTGGTGAGAAACTGGCTTGCAATTTTGGTGTTCGAATACAGCCACGAAGTAGCGTATTCCTGGGTCTTTTCTAGCAGCTCCAGTGCAACAAGGGTGTCCATTAATCTTGCAGTAGCATCGGAATCCGCGTTGATCTTTGCTGCAATGTCTTCAGCGGACAGTAGAGTCTTGGAATCGTGTAAGAGATCAAAGATACCAAGTTCATACGCTGCAAAAAGAGCTTGTGATTCTCGAAAGGCGAAAATTAAATTTTGCAGTTTATCTGGGATAGGTGGTGGAATTTTGTTGAGAGCCATTTCGTTCACATTTGCATAGGCGGACCAAGCGAAAGCGCTTGAGTCGGCGCAAAGTCAGCGCATGACATACCTTATTATAGGAAATTAACGCTCCATGAAATTAAGGTATTGGAAATAAACGCGACTTAAATTAACGCGAATTTTATGGAAAACGACTTTCGAATAAAGAAAATTAACGCGAAAGAGGAGGTAGAATTTTATAAAAAGGAAATTAACGCGATTATCTTAGCAGAAATCAAAGGAGAAGATATTGACATCACTTCTGACAGTGACACCGATGAAGATGGACTCGAAATATTGTAAACCTTCGCCTTAGCTTTTGTGAAAGATGAGAAATAAAGGGTAAATGGAAAGAAAGAAAGCTTGTAGTTAATGTTTTTTAGGTGTCAAAGAATGTCTGGACAGGTTCCATAATTGGGGTTAAAATACTGGGCCGAGTTGTTCAAAGCTGGGTTAAGATAACCCAGGGTTAGTGCGAGATTTTAATTCACATTTGAAAGCTTAAAAAGCATTTCAGTTTTAATTCCTTTTGTCTACAAGTTGATGACTGGTAGCTCTAAAAATAACAGAGAAAATTATCCGAGAAAATGCTTTTGAACACAAGAAAAAGAAACCCTGGGTTAAGCTTTAATCGGCCTTCGAACAACTGGGCCCTGGAAATTAAGAGCGCGGAAATTAACGCTGCACTTAATTAACGTCGCGGAAATTAACGCGACTTAATTTCATGGAGCGTTAATTTCCTATAATAAGGTATGATCTCATACCAACCTCGTCCGCAGGGTCTTCTCGTTTTCCAATATGAAGACCCTGGGGGCGACCCTGGAGACAAGATTTTATCCTTTTGAGGGAGTCGTGAGAAGTCACGCGAGAGAAGCACGCGAGTGCGAGGGGCGGGAAACTTTTAAACACGATTTAGCATCCTAATGTTTTGCTGGCAACCCCAGGATTTGCTGGCGAGCTTTGGTTTGATTTCAAGCTACCCTAGTCCTAACCGTAACCCTAATCACTATTGCTTAACCCTCGGCGCTCAGGAAAAACGGCTGTGAAGCAGACTACAGGACCGTCGGCTTGATTAAGTGGTCGAAACCGACTATGTTGTGTAAACTTCATAAGGTGTCCAAGGGGACAACGAGGAGCTTGGGTCGAGTTTTGGATGTATTCAAAATGGCCACTGACCTGTATCACAAATATAAAAAAACAATTAATGTTTTTGCTTTAACGACGAAATGAATATGCTTCGCGACACCATAGACTCACTGGCAAAAGAATCAAGATACGGAAGCTCCATAGATCGTTAAGATAGTAAGTTTGTCTGTAGACGAAGGATAGATATTAATGCGGGCGGTATTTGATGAATAAGGGTTTGTTTTGTCAATACTTTATGCGTGAAACATTTCGCTCAGACGAAGCTTTTGCAGTGATTTCGTGATAAATTTTCCGTATTGATAGAACGATTAGTTTTAGTCACTCTGGTCAGAAAATATCGATTCCGAAGAACCAAATATCTGCAAATATTGATATCAAGAAATAGGTATTCGATCCTGCGCACACCCAGCTGGGACAGTCATATCAGTAGCGATGAATCTCTTTTTATTAAGTGTATATTTTGTTATTTCCGGCAGGACTGTGAAACAAGTGACCTGGGTGCATTTGCTGAAAAAGTACCCCTGCGGAAGAGGATGAAACTTTGGATGATTGAACCTATCAATTTTTTGAACTATCAACTCACTGTAGAAGTTCTACCAGCACAACACACAACGTAAATAATTAGCTTGTTATATGGCATGGCGGCTTTGAACAATGGCAGCACAATAATGCCTTCTACGGCACCCCTCTTCAGTCCCACTTCTTCAACAAGCAAGGATCAAGGTGGCCTAGTGTTTGTTGTCTTGTCATGCTTGTGTGCAAGTTTATGGGTGATCTACATCACATTTTATCATTCTCGAGTTATGGGATACATCCTCACACGACTGATTAACTTCAAGTACATAAATAATGGACAGTATTTTAAAATTGGTGAGTGTAACTGGCAGCCTTTTACTTATCTGTATCATGTCTCAAACAAACAATGCACCTAGTTCATACCAGTCAAAGGCAAAGAGAATTTTGAATACACTGACTTTAATTAATCAGTGAAAGTTGCGTGACAGTTTCTCTTGTGGCATCTTGTACCCTGCGAGCAGAGGCTACATTTTCACTGTGTGAGCTGTCGTTCGAAAAGTAGCCTCTGCTGACAGCTGTTCAACTTTGTATCATGCATGCGTGAAATTTGTCACGTGATTTGCAAGCGAAATTAATCGTCTGGTCTGTTGTGAAATGGCATGAGTTTGGCAGGAATAAAAAAGTTGCAACATCTCTGATCGGTTAGGCAAGACTCACGGAAGACTCATGCAATGCTCTAAACTGGTCAAGAACAGGAAAAAACCCGTTTTTGAATTTATTTCTCCAGCTTTTTGGACAGATTTGAATGGTTGTCGGCAGAGGCTACTTTTCGCACGCCAGCTCACACAGCGAAAATGTAGCCTCTGCTCGCAGGATAGGCATCTTGTGTCCTTAGGAGATACATGCCTCTTGATAAAACAGGTAAAGTACATGAGTGCAAGGCTGTGCTCTGTGATTTCCATTAAAAACTAAGATTTTCTAGTCACCTGGGTGCAAAAGTTAGACATCAGGAGCCCCAGATGTTGCTAAAGCACAGCCTTGGAGTGAATTGAGTTGGGGAATGGTGATATACAATGTAGAGGTAAGGAGGTTTGAGTGAAGGAGGATTTGACAGAAATAATAAAACAGCTATGGCTCAAACCCTGATTACCAGATACAAAGTTTGAGGCATCAAAATAATGTTAAGCTACCATACATTCAACTATAGCTTTTGAAGCCAAGGTTAATCTTTCTTTATGGACAGATCTATACTGCAGACAGCTTTCTATTAATTAGAGACGGGTCTCTTTACCCCAAAGATGTCAAACTTGGGTACATAAAGCATGATCACCTCTGTCGTAATGCAGACACTTGGATCGGTGCTCCATTGTCCATTTCAAGGAGGTTAATAATCTCATTACTTCATTAATATTTTTGGGACTGTAATTATGCCAGTGTTTGGGTCTGCCAGGAATTACTGTATGTGATTACAATATTTACATTGAAGTACAGTTATTTTACCTTCCTTTCACAGGGTCATTTTCCTTTTCGATATTATCTGGAAAGATTATGTTTAGAGATGTTGTGTATATAACACAGGATCTGAGCTTTAGGTAGGAACCAATAATGTTCTGTGTTGTTCATTCATATCACATGGTGGTTTAATAGTTCTTAAGATGTACACTGTCTTGTACTTGTTTTCACCTGTTTGTCCGCAGCACTAGCACTTGATGTGGCTTTAAACATACAACATTTTTCATGACCAACTTACTCTATTTTGCCTAATTTAGTTCTTGTACAAGCACTACACAAGCTCTAATAAGTATCCTCCCCTGACTAAGCATTTAACCGTCAGCCAAACAAGCAAATTAGAACCCCACCCTTGTAAAGTGGCATTCTCTGTCCCCTGATTTTCTGTTAGTTATATAGGGAAGCCTCTGTTTTGATTTTTAACGTCACTGGCATTAATGCAGAAGAGCCTTTCTTCTTCATGAAGTCAGCTAGCGTGCACATCACCAGCAAAGTTTTAACAATAAGAATATTTTTTTGGGAAACCTCAGGGCTCAAAATAATGGCCAGTAAAGAGACACTTGAATGGCCAAAAACTTCACTCGACGGTTACGTTGACCGTCTTGCATGCGCTCTCATTCTTGAAAAAACAGCCAAATCCTAACCTAGAAATCTTACATTGTGTCTTCTTGTAAAAAAATACAATCTAGTATACAAATAGAAAATTACACAATTAGGAAAAGTCGCCTTTTCCCCCAATATTAGCGGTGATGAATGGTCCATTAAAATTTTTAACTGCGCGCAAAATTTTACCTTTGCTCGATTTGCTCGCAAAATTTAAACGAGTGCCCTCTTGCTCGTGCTCCCCAAATTTTTGCGTTGCTCGCAAGCTCGCAAAGCAAATTTTTTATTTCTGCTCGTGCTCGCAAAAAAATCTCAGTGCTTGGCATGCTCGCGAATGCTCGCAAAGACCATTCGTCACTCCTAATATTTTGACCAGTCATAAACAAGACTTGACCGAGAAAAAAATTTATTTGGCCATTCATCTTAATCCGGAACCTACTTCACCAAGAAAGAACTTGCGTTCTTTAGTAGGGGCCTCTTGTTCTTAAAGTTGTTTGTTTAATTTTTAGGGTCATTGATGGAATAGCAATCTTCAAGTATTGGTTACCATATAAACCAGCAGTTTCAAAGAAACCTTACCAGCTTGTCCCTCCAGATAGTGGTGGGTACATGTAAATGTTCTCTTAACTGTGATTTAATATACCATAAAGTGCCACAAGTTACAAGTTCCCCCCAGTGATAGGCCTATCTACTTGTAAACAAAAATACATCCAAATGTAAGCTCCCCTCCCCTCAGATATACGCTCCCTGAAATGTTTTCATATGAATTTGATTTACTATAAAGTTTTGAAGGTTAATTAAAAACTAGTGAATGCAAAACATATCTTCAAGCACTTTTTCTATCCCACAACAACAACAACAAGAGCAACAACCAACCATTTTATTTGCCAAGTTAAAAAAGTTTACAAGAACATAATAAATTAAAAGTGGATCAGGCAAAAAAACTACCCAGAATAGCAAAAACTAAACAAGCAGAGTAGTTACAATAATCAAATTGCCTTCAATAGAGTAATCGTCACACATAAAAGATACAGAGGAGAAAAAAAAAAGAATTAAATTTTGAAGAATAAAGTAAATAAATATTGAAATAAATAAACAAGTAAATAAATAAATAAATGTTACTTAATAATTAAAATAAAATGGAAAATAAAATATCATTAACCCTTTAAGACCCAAGAGTGACCAAAATCAATTTTCTCCTAACAATATCCATACATTGTCAAGAGATTAGGTTATGAGAGGTAATAAAATGATCACCAAAGAGAAAATGCCTTTATCATTTATTCTCTCAACACATTCTTTAAGGAAATGTATTGAGATCAGTTTGGAGAATTTGTATGTGGATATTGGGTCTAATTAAAGGGTTAATGACAAAATGTCTAAGTTTAAATAGGATGCCAATGCTTCTTGAAATTTTCTTACCCACCTCATTTGCATGTTTTTTTTTTCCATGTCAAATAACAATCAATAATAAGACCTACAATCGGCGACAAAAATAGTTAAGACACCTTGCCCTAAAGGGGCTTCCTGACATTATACCAACTTTCAAAGGAGAAAATAAAGCTTTTCTTCTGCTGCACAGGCTTGCCTGAAATTTTTAATCTGATAGGTTGAGGTTTTCTCTGAGGATGGCAAAAGTTCTCAATAATTGTGCTTAACCATACATGTAAACCCCCTTGGATACATCATGTATAAGCCCCTCCAACAAAGAAGTTTTAGCTTAGGGCTAAAAATTGGCAGTTTGTGGTAGTTATGCTCTCCCCACTGTTTGAAAGCTTGTATGCAGATTAACTTGTTTGCATCTCTACATCATCATATAAGACTGATAGATATACATGCCATTGGTTATTTTCTTCCAAACAGATAGCAATGTCAAGCATCGACTTATAGTGAGTCTAAATGGCCTAGAATACCATGTTTACAACAGGTGAAAATGGATTTGATTTATAATGAATTCTGCATTGCATAATTTAGAAAAGCTGAAATATAATAATCTCATATACATGTATGACACTTCAAAAAAAAAAACAAAAAAAAACAAGGATTAATACAGGTCTGTAAAAATTTTAAGAAACAGGTATGTACATGTGATATGTATTTTATCACTTTTTTTATTTATGTTTTAGGTCACACTTATACAATAAACTTGAAGAGCTTTTCAGAGTTGAAAGATATGGAGGTAAGCAATTAGTTTTGGCAAAAATGGCCTTCTTTCCCCTTTTTTGTTGCATGTAAGCATTATATCAAGATCATAATAAAGTTGTTGTCATCATTACGTCTGTACTCACCATGTTACCCCACTTTTAACAGACCACTGTGACAGTGTGTTCTCTGTATGTAATCACATAGTCTATACTACGCTGTAAGTTACATCTACATGTATGATTTAGATGATGTTGTACAGATGTACATTCAATATTGTTTGGTTTGATTATCCTTGACTAGTGCTAGGAATGTGATCCTTATTTATAAAATCATCTTCGATAACACTAATAAAATTAATATTGTTTTCAAAATTTCATAAGATGCTGCCAAATCAGCCCAGAATATTTCTGCCATAAATGCAGCTGCAGAACCAAAGGCTGATGTTGAGAAGGGGTGAGTCCTGTGTTACTTTTGCAAAGATACCAGGGAAACTCAGCACTTGGGAAAAAAGAGAAACTTGAATTCCAGAGCAGCTCTCACAGTTTCTTGCCTGGGGCCACATCTTACTTAAATCTTAGTTAATGATTTTGTTAGAGGATGACTTATGTGGACTCTTGCCCATTGGGCTAGTAAGCTTTCAAAAAGTTACTTGCTCAGCAAGAAAATCCTCTTGTCCCAAACGATCATACGGGTCTTTTTTCGAGCCCTGAAATTATGATGTGTATCTCATTTTGTGGTCAAGACAATTAAATATGTGTTAAATAATAAAAAAATAGTAATAAAATAGAAAATAAATAAGTAAATAAAATGATCTGTCTGCCTGATCTCAGTCAGAATGGCCATCTCATGTAGGGAAAAGAGACAAAAGAGGTACAGTGTAAATTAATGGTTATTAAAGCAAGCTAAGGGAGAATGTATTTGCTGTGAAGAAAAGAAGGGATTGATATTGAACATAGTGGTGTTGTTGGCAGCATTTTGACTGTTATAATAAATAATCACTTTTAAATGTAAGATTAAAAAAATTAATGAAATTAAACACATATCGTCTTGCAGTGAAAGCACAAGGAAAAGTCCAGGATCTCAGATTGTTCTTTGTTGCCTGCTCTCATGAACCGTTTCATATCAATTTCATTAGCAGAGTTATCTGTTTTGAAAATATGCATCTTACATTCTTTATATCAGGAAAGAGGATGTTTCTGCCAGTGGACTGCCATCATGGCTCCTTGAGCTGGTTCCAGCAGTCAAATATGACATCAACAATGTAAGTTACTGGTTCCGTGCATGACTGTGTTACTGTCAACAGTGTGCTGGCATAGGATCGCCCTCATGAAAAAAAGGAAATAACCAAACAAACCAATAAAAATAACATAATACACCAGCAAATACAAATAATTTAATAATTTTATTCCCTAGTCCTGCTGTCCCTCTAAAATAATGGTTTTGGGTAGCTACTTTGATTTTCTCAGCTACTTTGATTTTCTGTTTTTGTCGCAGGGGAGAGTCGCATTTGGAAACAAATTATTGGAGACAACATTGTGTTTCAAATTTGAAAGCGCCTCAGGAATCTACACTACATCTCAGGTAGAAACATAAAGTGAATCAATAAGTAACTCTTTCCCATGCTACATCCCAACAACAGTGATTTTAACTGTCTTTGTTCTGAACACAATTGTTAAATTTTGTATCACTAAGTTGATGACTTCATGTTGTTGTAATATTTCTTATTATAGTAATTAAGAACATATTAATGTCTCTTTTGTTTCCTTTGATAGGCCAACTCTTCTCTAGATGAGTTTATGCACATCATCAAGTTCCAGGGAAAAAATGTCCGAGTCATGCTGTCTCCCAGTCCATCCTATAATGGACCCCGAGATGAGTAAGAACACAGTACATGTTGATTTACCTTTCTGTTGTGAGACACTGTAATATAGTAGTTTAAATTAAATTCTTACATAGTACACCGTATAAAATTGAAGTTAGATTTTTCCCAGCGACTCTCCCTGATTATCTGAGAGTCTCCTGGCCATGTATAGGGACTGAATTTCCTGGTCTTCTGTGTGGGTCACCAGTATCCTCAACAAAAATTGACCTTTTAGCTCTTTTGCACTATAAAGACAGGATGGAATTTACAGTTTACTTATTGAATAAAAATTAAATGCGACCAACAAAATTATTATGTTCATGTTATGTATCTACCTCATATATGTTTAACACAACAAATGAAAGTGATTTGAGGACTGGGTAAAGTTGTGTTTGTTTGTGTTCAGTCAGATCTCCAGTGTCCATTGAATATTGGTTAATTATTTATACTTTCTTTTGAACAGACCTCCTCGTTACATGGGGGAAGGATTTGTGGTTCTTGAAACAGCAGATTGCAAAATAACATACTACCAAGATGAACCAGGTCAGATGATTCATTCAATTTTAGCCTGTTATTTCTATTTACATGAGCTGTTGCATGAGGCCTTCAGGTCTTAAGGTGACATTGTCCAGAGCTTTTTTCTGTCGTTGCCGTTTCATTTTTCAGCAAGTAGACAGGCAGTTAAAACAGTATCATGTGTGAAGAAAGGAAGAAAGTACATTGTATGCTTCATTGCAGAGATTGTAAATTGCTTCACCGCTATTTTATAAAATCAATCAGATATAATTTTTCCTTAACTGGGTGCAACGAAAGTTGGTTTTACATGTACCAGCCCCAAGAGTCTTTAAAGCAGCCCCAAATAATTTTTCATGGGCAGCATTGATTACAGTTCTTCTGTATTTTAAATTCCTTCTCCCCAACCCCCCCAAAAAAAAAAAAAAAAAAAACCACTTGCCCTTGGACTAAAGAACTTCACTAGCCCAATTTAAAAAAACACCAGCCATTGAACCGAGTCTTAAACTAGATTGTAAAGCCCTCCTCCCTAAAAAGAGCCGTTGAAAAAGAGTCATAATCCTCTTCAAGTAATTAACCTTGTCATGTCCACTGAGGAAAATGGTTAGTGCAATGTTCATTATTATGCCTTACACTGTATACAGCTGTATATTGTAAAGCTTCAGTTTGATGGAGTTTGAATCTGTAACTCCAGGTAAACATTTGATGCTCTCACTACTGAATTGCCAGGAGACTGAGCTAGAGCATTTACCAAGATCACTTGCTGAATTGAATTCTTAAGGATAAACTTATTTATTTCTTTGAAAATACGTGTATTATTTTCATTTCATTAGTTATCTTTTATACTTGTGTCAGGTGTTGCACCTGAAGTGATGGCCGAGAATGAAGCTGAATTACCCGACAGTGATCCACACTGGGGCATTGATGTCGTCTTCTTGAAAAATACCACACTGTGTTATGGTCCCTGGGTGGACAGACAGAGGTGATGTACCGTAACTACATGTACTCTACTATAACCATACTTATCCACCACTCACACCACACACCAGGGGACAAGTTGCAGCAACACTTTGCAGCAACAGAACCGTCTTCTTTTGTGTACAGGTCTGGCAACTAGTTGCAGCAAAAAATCGTTTGTGTGTACTGAAAAATGTTTGTGAAGATCTTTGTCTCTGCTACATAGTTTTGTTGCCGTGACAAGTCACACAAATTGTGTCTGATTTGATTTTTTTGCGTCATGTTACATCAACAAAATTCTGTTGTAGAGACAAAGAATTTCGCAAAAATTCTCCTGTACAAACGAAGCGATTTGTCACTGCGATGTGTCGCTGCAGCATGGTGATTCACCTTGTCTTGTGACCTGTATACAAGTAGTGATCTGTCGCAACTACAAGTTGCTGCTACAGTGCCCTGGTTGCCCGACCTGCACGAAAGGAATGATCTGTCACCAAAGACATGATTGTTGCTGCAACTTGGCCTCATTTTGAAAGTGAAGGTTTTAGGAACTCAGAAGTGGCTTATTTTCCCTAGGACTCTGACCTGTCAATAATTGACAGGTGAACTTGAATTATTCAAGTCAGTCTTAAGCTCTGTTTAATGATTGATTTAATGCTTGTTTTGTGTTTTCGTGCCAACAGAGATGCATTGCAGAAGTTTTTTTACCCATTTGACTACCAAGAGCTTTCCACCACAAAACCCCTTGAACCGGGCCAGAGGCGCGTTCACACTGGACTGGATGTCAAATTCACCTTCGAGTGTGATACTACCCTAGATATTTTATTCTCCAAAAACAGGGTATGCGCTGCTATCACGTTTTCATCCAGATTAAAAGGGATAGAACCTGGGTACTTAAAAAGAACAACCACTTCCTGGAAGCCATAGGCGATATACGTGTAGTTATAGTAACTTTTACCTTGCTCAAGAAGTGCAGTGGAAAATTTAGACTCTGTAATTTATGAAATAATTTTCATATGCTATGCTACTATTAAAAAGGTGTTTTTCAAAATTAATAGGATACGAGCTTCTTTTGTGAAGTTTCCTCCTGAAGATGTACTTCAAGTTTCACTTTACACCGATCGCCACCAGGTTATCAAGATGAATGTGTACTGGAAAAAAGCTCGCATGCATCATCATTCTCTTTACATGTAGTACAATCATTTTTTTAGGGGTTCATATTCTTGAACATGTATGGTAACCAGTCAACTGGCTACCAAACCATCTCGCCAACAACAAAGTCGCCATCAAGAAGTAGACTCGCCACCAAGACACAATCTACTCATCCAAGATTAAACGATATCTTATACGATAACCCCTGTCGACCAGTGGATTGTTATGCCCATGGTGCTTGACTTGCTCACAATCTTCCAAGATGTGCAAGCTGCACGGTTGGTGCGAGTTGGTTGGCTGCGAGTTGACTTCTTGGTGGCGAGTTGGATGGTGGCGAGATAACCGTAAACCTCTTGTATATATGTTGTTTAAACAGGTCACCAAAGCAGTTCACCTCTGTGTAGTGTCAGGTTCCCTTGTACGAGTTTACCAGCCCTGGACTGTGAATGAATATGGTTACACCACCTCAGTTGTGGCTAAATTATTTCAAGTTGAGGCCACAACCAGCCTTGCATACAGACAGCTTATTGAAGCGGATGCGATTGATGTAAGAGGATACAATACGTAGTTGCCTTTATTCTTTATACATACATATTAGGGACCTTGACATCCGAGGAAGACAAAGGCGGCAAAAACGTTCTTTCATTTATATTTGGCCTCAGCTGGCCTTAAATACCCATGAAACGGAGCATTAGCGCGATTGTCCAGGTTTTGAACTTTTGTTCTTTATTTTTTTATTGTTGCTGTTGGTGTCGTATTCAGTTGCAATTGAGTCATTTAAAAAGTAAATAATGTGTTAAACTGGTAGAAATAAGCGTCTTTTCATTATTCTAGATTGCATTTCACATGTCGTTCCCTCGCGTTTGGAACCAAACACAACACTGGTCATGTGACGTAACCCTAAGCAAGGTTACATGGAGTTTTATCTTTGCTCACAAGTTCTTTTTCCAAGGTTAGTCTTCAGTGTCTTAGCTGTAATACTAAAAGGAAACTGGGACGAGTTAACTTTCGCAGAGATTTCTGGGATTGTTACTCGGGACAGGGCAAACAAATTGGCCAATATATAGAAGCTGAATTGTGCGTCTACAGTAACAATACCAGAAGTCTTTGCGAAAGATAACTCGGTAGGCAACTGTTTTAAATTAGTAAGTAGCTCTTTGATCTTTTTGATGTTCACTTGCTGTTTTTTCTTTGCAGAAATGGTTGACGACTGGACTATGAACTACAGGCCTGATCTTTTAACATTTGTTCCTTATGAGTGGTCGTTTAATATCATATTACGAGATTTTGAGATGGTTTGGCTTGGAAATCAGCACAATTGGATTGAATGTGCATCCAATCGACAAGAGAATGGTATGTTTCAAACATGCTGAAAACATCACAAGATCAACTCTGATAAGTTGTCATATTCTGAATGACAATCCAAGGCTTGATGTCTCTTGCGATAACCTGCTAAAACCCGATCAGTATTAAAAGGTTAATTCAAAGCTTTCGCTGACAAGATACGAAAAGTCCACAATAATTCACTTTCCCATACACTACTTTGAAATCTGAATGACATGCGCAGTAAATCTAAAGCTTAAAAATAAATGCGGAGGAGATCAGCACTGTTAAATACGCAGCTTATGCCATCGAAAAAGAATGCCTGAAAAACAGTTATAATAACTCTGGCTTCCCTCGGTTATATCTCATCATGGCAAATTTAAGGCCTGTTTGGTTTGAGATACAGGCGTTTTCCATCAAAAGTCAAGATGACCGAATATTGGCCAAGTTCTCAGTCTTTTTCTGCGTTTTTGGGGAACGAGACTTCAACAAAAATGCAGAAAAAGAGGAACGAAACCAACATCAAGTAATGTATAGACGAAACAAACTTAGTCAATAAAGGATTTATCATATGGCCCTGAGAACGTTTTTCCTGCGGCACTAACTGAGCGGAATCTTGCCCGCTCCGGCGCTGAATCAACCATATGATAACACTAATTTGCTTTGCGAACTTTTCCTTGCTTCCCAAGCGTTTGTGGAATAACACGAGTTAGTTCATTTGTTTAGAGATAATACTGATGAAATATGTTATGTTCACTTGCTATTTATTTTTTCAGCCGAGCTGGCATTTTGTGGCGAAGTGTTTGATTTAACCTTTGTTCTGCAATACTTTCGGTTTATTCCGGAAATTGAGGAGATCAAGTTCTTCTTACAGGTTAGTCCGGTTTTCTGCGACCAGGAAGGTTGGGAAGGGGCAGGGGTTAGCTGTCGCGTCCTCCTCTGTACTTAAAGAGGGGGCTCGGACAACAACGACGACATTGGTAGTGAAATCATAACATCTTAAGAACATCGGCGTTCTTTCAAACTTCTTGGCGATTATTTCAGGTAGCTGAATTTGTTAAATGCTGTCGATGTTCGGGTTGAATTGCAATGGTCATAATTAACGCAAGTTAATTAAGAATATTTGTGTTTGGGTGTTCACATGTTCCTTGAAACGTCGTATGAGGCCATTTCGGTTCGATGTCATGCAGTAACGACAAAGAAATGTACAAAGTGAGTTGCATGTGCAGAGTCGTTAGTTTGTTTATTAATCATTACTACGTTGATGTCTCCGTCGTCGTAGAAAAAGATTCTTTAGCAGTTACAATCAAACTTACAACATGGTTACTGTTTCAAATATATCAAACCGAACGTAGTTTAATTAACTGTTTCGCACTATTTTGTGTAGTCTTGGATCAGCCTTCTTTTTCCCTTCGTGTTATTCGCGCTAGATCTGTCAACCAATCACAATTACAAAGAAATCAATTCAATAATCGTTTTTCTTGTTCCATATTTAGGCTGAGAAGTTAGTAGCCAGATTGTTTCTTCCGGAATCAAACACACTTAGACGTAGCTTTCTGTCATTGGCTCGGACTTCAGAGAAGAAGAAAGAACTTGGTCTTCGATCACGCTCCTCTACCACCACTGGAAACTTAGATGAAGCAGTGGAAAGTGCTGATGAACAGCCAATAACAAGCACAACTGAGGAAACAATAAGTGGCGGCTGGAGGCGTCATACAGACCACAGTCTTGGTAAGTTGGCTGGAGGTTTACAGGGTCTACTGATTATTGGTGAAGATCATGAGAAAGAACTTCTGTTGTATACTCAGCTTTAGGGTTTGAATCGTTTTCTCTTTTTTGCTTTCGGTTACTAACACAGACCAGAGTCTTGGTACGCTGGCTTGATTTTTTTTGGCTTTTTTTGTTTGTAAAAGTGGGAAAGAACTTCTGTGTTGTACGATGTATTTGTCTCGGCATATTGGTTTCAAGCTGTTTCACTTTGTTTGCCGTCGGTTATTTACACAGACCAGAGTCTTAGTGAGCTTACGCGAAGTATTTTTGGGGCTGTTCATATTTAGTAAAGTGGGGAAGAACTTTTGTATACGATGTGTCGCCTCGGATTGATGGTTTCAAGCTTTTTCAATTGTTGGTGTCGATAGCAAATAAGAAATACAGGTTATATGTTTATGTCAAATCTCTGAACTCAAATGCAATAGGATTGAACGACGCATGTGGGAGTCACGTAAAATATGACTCTTGACACATTTGTTTTGAATAATATCGAAAGTTAAAAGTGCTATAGGATAGTTTGCGACAGAAATGGTATTGAAGTGCTTTGATTTAGATGGTCACCAGCCTGCGAGGAAGCTCTCCATTTGGAAGAGTCGCGCGAATTCACACGAGAGCCGCCCGCAAAATAAGAAGCGAGCTGCAGTGGGCGGGTCGGGGAAAGAAAGAGAGTGCTCTCCTTCTCCTCCCTCCCTTGCGCCCTTCATGGCTTCGCCTCTCGCTGGCGGGTTCTTTCGTGGCTCGCAAGCCAGATGTTCACATCACAGAATTATTTGTGTCAACGGTAATTTTGAATTTCTTGTTCTTGTTTGTATGCCAAAGTGTATCGACAATTCTCTTTAGCAGTGGAAAGAAAATGTTGCCATGTGATGTCTTTTTATAGGATGGGTTGATGTGATGTCGGTACCTATTCTGGGTTTCTCTCTGGGGTACATGTATCACCCCTTGTATCCCAGCCCCAAGAATGAAGTGCCCCGTGGAGCACCCCTACCATGTGACCCTACTCATTGGGAACCTGATGTCATCAGCTTGGAACTTGAAGCTGGGCCCGCAGCGTTAAGGATGTTTGGATCATTGATGTCAGTGCTTGCCGCTATCAAGGTTTGTACTATTCGTTCAAATTCCGAATTAGGAATTCTTTATGGTTTTATGCGATAGCAGGGTTTTTACGGCTTGCCATTCTGGCGAGCTGGCCATTCGGGCAAGCTGTAGCTAGCATGTAAAAGCCTGAATGTCATTTCAGCTAGTTCGAAAAAAATTGTTGACGAGCAGGATTGATTACAGTTCTTCTGTTATTTTAATCTCCAAAAAACTTCACTAGCCCGTCGGGGAAGGTAAGAAGAGAATCCATTAGCCCGATGGCGGCAAAGTTCACTAGCACAAGGCTATCGGACACTACTGCACATTGTATAGGGTGAGCAGTATAAGAAGGAAGGGAGGAACAGAGAAGTTGACAGTGGTCGCGGAGAGGAAAGTTAATCTTTGGAAGCACTGGGCTATTGCCCGCGCTGCTAGTTGAAATAAAAGTCCTTTTTGTGCGTTTCGCAAACGCTTCGTGTCATAAAAGAAAGGGAGGGTATATAGGTTAGGGGAGGGAAGAAGAAAAGCTTGATGTCGAACCTGCTGCGTTACCTGTGGTATGAAGTCTGCTCCAAGAACAGATTACAAGGCTTGACGTTAACAGGTTGCTGGGTGAAGGTGAACTTGATAGTCAGATGTGTTCTGTGTTCTGTCCAACTGGAAGAAGTGGGAGGCGTTGCTTTCGTCTGCGAAAATTAGGCATGAATGTAAAAGAACTAAGACTGCTTGAAAGCCTGATGGTTAGCAGAGAGGTGTCGTGGTTTGTTTGTCTTTCTCCTCCTTTTCACCTGAGTTGGCCTACCGGGGGTCCTGTGACTTATCGATGACGTCACTACACACCTTATGCGAATTGGCCGTTGCGGCTGGCAAGTCACGTGGTATGCGGGAGAGCAAAAAATACTTGCTAGGACGTACCACGTGACTGACCAGCTGTAGAGGGCACACTAGGGAGTTTAAGATACAGAGACTACGGACTACGAACTACGGCTGGACGAGCGTTGTCCTTTGTTTGTAGCACTGGGTTGAGTCGTGCAAATATAGAACGTTAAGATTGCACTACAGACAGTAGGCTACGAGAGAAGAGGCGGAGAGGGAAACAACACGCAAAGATTTTCTTGTTTTCATCACAGTTTACAAAAATGCAAGTCAGTTTTGCATGTGATCTTATCTTTAGAACAATGAACAAATTCTTCCATTATTGAAGGAAGCACTGAATTACATCGGGTGAAATTGGTGAACAAAGTTTTGGTTACACAGGTTTTATTTTTTTCGCCCATGAATACTTATGTCAAATATTAAAGAAATAGACAGAAATAGTAACAGCTCATTTATTAGATTTAGAAGATGGACTTCTCCGACTACTGATCTGATGTAGTTTGAAGTATTGAAATGCCGAGATTCGATTGTCTCGAAGATGTTGACATCATTTTCATTCAGCAAATACGATACAAAAACTCGCATTAACAAAGGTTACACAACTAGAAAGACACACTAATCAGTTCGAACAAACAATGAAACTTTTCAAGTGCGAAGAGAAAGTAAATTACCTGCATGATTTCTCTTCTCCTCGGCCGTCAATCTGAATTCTGCGTTATATAAACAGCTAAGCGTATTTAAATATGAGCTTAGCTAGATAAAAATGTAGTCACAACAGTGGATTAAAAGCGTAAATCTGAGCAGAAATTAGACACAACTTACATATTTCGCTTCCCTCTCACTTAAAGCAGTTGAATTGAAAACTTTTTTACGAAAAGACGAGATTCTTGAATCACCGAGACGGCGAAATACGAGCAAAATGTTCTCCGTAGTCCCGACTACGCGAAACAGCTCAACAACTCACCGTAGCCGGACTGTCCCGTAGCCGCAGGACTACGCCGGAGAAATAAACAGTCACGTGGTTTTGATCATGCGCAGTAGCGTGTTTAACCGTAGTCGTAGTCCGTAGTCGCCGTATCTTAAACTCCCTACTATTAGGAGACTGCGAACAGAAGCAAGAGTTTGGTTAATTTGTTTGAGAAACATTGATCATTCATGCTTACCCCTCCAGCGTAATTCGCTAACTGCTGTATTTCTTATCGTTTGGAAAACAGGAAAACTACTTCGGTATCAATCAGGATTTTAAAGAGCTTGGTGTGAAGACAAATCCCGAAGAGACGACCCTAGAGGGAACCCTAGGCAGTGGTAATAGGGATACTATCAACCTACAGTCGTTGAGGCCAATGGAAGCTAACATCTTTTTGACGTTGTATGATATGAAGGTGGAGCTAACCAAGGTAACTTGAACGGATTTTATCTTGTAGGTTCTATCCAAAGTAAAACTATCGTAGTGGTTGATCTCTTTGAAGGATCAACCGTTAGAGATTCAGTACCCCCCAGGTCTGGAAGATAAACACAAGAACTTGATGGTATCAACTGACTTGACATGTTCGTGTCGAGGGAGTTACCACTTAGTTTTCGCGTCATGTTATGTTCGCGACGCCCATTGTTCGCGTCACTTTAATTTCGCGATTTGTGTTAATTTGCGAAATCAACGTGTCGCGAATTTTTCATGTACACTGTAATAAGGTATGCCCAAGCAAACCCGTGAAACGAACACTGGAGGACTAAGGAGAGGGAAGCAATACTTGTATTAAATCTTGGAACGAATTATGACTGTGATTGTCTTTATCACTGGGCGTCGCCTGAAGAGACAAATGGTGGTTTTATGAGGAAAAGGAGAGTAAAGCAAAATGTGTTTCGTGGAACGACCTTGTCATTGTTGTGTTTTCCGTAAGTGTTTTAGCAAATTGAGATAGATTTTTAGGCGAAGGTAGCTCCTGTGCCTAGCAGTTTGCGGCAGAACAATCATGCACCCCTAGAAGAGAAACCTGTCAGCTTACACACTGATGAGACAGTGAGAATAACGCTACAACTTATTTCTGTTTGTGTTTGTTCCTTGCAGCACTGTGGTGCTAGTGAGCCGTCTAGTCCGCTGATATTAATGGAAAGATTGTCATTTGAGATGCATAAGACGTACACGGAAACACGACTGCAACTTCATCTCAGCCCTGCAACTATAGTGCTTGCAGATAGAAACGAGGTAAACTTTCGTCCAACAACTAATTGTAATTGCAAGAAAAACGTTTTTTTCGTATACTAAAAATCAAGTACTGCTAAAGAGGCCTCTTTGGATTGGTCACACCAAAGGATTTCGTTCAGACTAAAACTTTTAGAACCAAATGCTTAATAAAACAGTACCAAGCGAAAGTACTGCTGAAGAAGTTCCATTTGAATGGTCACACCAACAGCGTACTGAATAAATAGTACCACGTGAAAGTACTGCTGAAGACGTTCAATCATAAATGTGGTCAAATCATAGGATTTCGTCCACAGACTCAAAAGAAAGTTAGAACTTCGTGTTAGGTAGATAGGCCCACGGGAAAGTATTGCTAGAGAGTCATGCCTTAGGATTTTATCCACAGACTTAAAACCTCATACATACCCAATAAATATGCAAGTGTTAACCACGTTGGTTTTCTTTTTAACGCAACAGCGTGGAATCGTGAATCACAATCTATCGCAAGGCCATCTAAGTTTATCCGGATTTCAGCTCCGTGGACACGCCATGTTTTCAGGGCTGGATCGCCCCCCAGACTGTGAAACGTTAGAATACGCATGGCTTGTAGAGATTCAGCTGGGCATACTGTCTGGCAGGCTCACCATGCCACAGGTAATGTACGTCGTGAAAACGTCGTGTACTAGACAAACAATTACAGAAGAACTGTTTTGATTTTTACATTATCTTGTCTGCGGTCGACATGTTCCGGTGTGCAGTTCTACTGTTTATTATCTCAGTATTACTTTAAATTCCCAGGCGTTCATACTCCAGAAGCATTGTAGTTCACGTATAAAGAAAGACACGAGCTATAAAATTACATTTTAGTAAACACCCAAAGTTAGAACTGATTTCCCACGATATTGACAGCAATCTGCAGCAATTATGATATAATTTTAAAGAACTAATACTGGTGTCTTGGTCGGTGTTGCACTCATGCCGGTTAGTTGTATCTTCTAACAAAAGACGGTGACTGTGCCGTTGATCCTTGTTCTGCTATACCATACTACTTATGCGTGACTACACATTTGTGCTACTTAAGTTGACATTAACAAGCTATTTATTAAATTTTTCAGCTACAAGCTATAGCCAACTGGGCACAGACATTTGCCTTCCATGCCGTAAACAAAGAAAACGACTTAAGGCCCAGCACTCCCTATGTTCAGTGCATTCACGGTAAACAGCAGAACGTGTGCGAGAGAAGGCACCAGAAAAGGAAGGTGCTGCGAAGCGTGGACCTCGCTGCAGACGCCAATGAGAGGACATCAGTAAAAGGGACTTTGGATAAGACCAGGGACTCTTTAAAGTTGTGTATACCTGAGGATGACGTAAAATATCGACTGACTAGAGTGTCTTTGGAGAGGTTCAATTTATTTCTGGTGGAGACAGGATGTGCTTGTAATCTTGAGGTAAGAGCTCTGTGTTTGTTCAAAAAAACAAAATTGGCTTGTATGCAAGACACGACGTTTTTTAGTTGAAGTAAAATTTTTGGACCTGTTTTCCCTTTATATTGTTCCCTTTTTTCTACACGATAAATGTCAGCAAAGGTCAGTGAGCCTGCTGTTAGTCAGCGGCTCATAACAAAGGCGCATTGCAGGCCTATTGTAGCTTACGAAGAGTTGGGCACAGGAAGGCAAAATTAAAGAGCTCGAGCAAGCAAATGTAGAGAACCATTAGTACCCACATTCCTTTTGTTGGTAATCCACTGACGGCTGTATAACCTGTAGATTGTTGAATGGTTTTGTATGATTAAGCCGTTAGGCATTGGGCATTGTAGTGTATTATGCATTCGTTGCGTACCAACTCTAGTTTACCCTTAGTACAAGCAGTTACTGTAAAATCGCGATTTCTCGAACCCAACTTCCAACCTTCTGATAATTTAAACAAAACTAACTTCCTTTCTACAGTCAAACACTGCAATTTTGACCACTTTTCCAGGAGGTTCGAAAGGTCGGGATTGACTTTTCTGGTTTTCTCCTTATTCTTTGAACAGGTTTTTCCCGTCAGACTGGCTACATGTAGTCTTCACAGTTCAGAGTCCAGTTCAGGCATGAGCCTGTTTGTTCAGACGATCAAGTTGCGACAGTTTGTTTGCACTCCTTGGCCTGAGAACTCTCGGGTTACTCTCGGTGAAGCCCGTCGACCTCTATCCTTAGTAGAAAACTCAGCCTGGCTTGAAGCTGCTGTGGTACAGCTTGGTCCAATAGTGACAGACATCTCCGCTGCTACCTCCAAGCCTGAACTTCATCTCGAGCAAAAAGACTTTCTTGAAATGCACGATGCTAAATTCCAGCGGTTGTGGTTTCTGTGGCAACCACAAGATCAGTTACCCGGCAAACTGCACGGAGTGTGCGGTTGCACAGGCGGTTGTAACTTCTTCGGAAAGAACGTTAACGGGCCACGATTCTTTACCGCTGAAAAATTAGACGCCAGTGAAAACGATACAGGGATGGATGGTTTTGGAAGCGAGACTGGTTTCTATGACGATGGTGACATTGTAGATAGTGGCGCAAGGCCTTTGATGTATTCTCGCAGTGCTGACTTAAATGCCCTGGAATCGAATTACTTTGATCGGACGCCTGTTGGATCAATTGAGGCTTTTACGCGCCGGCGATACACTGCATCTGGGTCAGAGGGAAGCTCTCCAAAAGTAAGACGATCGATGCAAACGCAGACAAACAAGGAAGCCTACATTGATCTTGGAATCGGTAAGAAGACACACTTGTTGTTCTTAACCAGGTGATTTTTCAATGGAGTCTCCTAAAATCGAGACGGAAATAATTACTATGCGGGTATGGAGAACCAAGGGAAGCTGGGAAGAGGCAGGTTATTATCAGGGGAATCTCTTGCACCGGCGAGGTTTTAGCTTTGAAGTGCATTGAGGTCAGAAAAGAGGCTTTTCCCAAAAGCATTTTAACCTTTCGCAGCCAGTTGTAACATTTGATCTATACGGTACATTGTTGGCCGAGGATTCAGACATTTGCAGACCCTGCCTATGGAGACTTGTTTGCATAGCCAACACGACAATCATGTTACCAAAGCTTTGCATGTTTTACTCGCGGAGGCAGCGTGGATTCCGCTCCAGCTCAGATTATAGTTGTTTTTCGGTAGCCCCGAGTTAAGAACTTTGTTGAGTCACGCTTGTAATTAGCCAACTGGTTTGCCTCCGGCTAGTTGGATTTCAACTTGCTTTGTTCAATTAAAACTTTTGCGACTTTTTTCAGCCGGAACCAATTGTAGAATTGTACGTGTTTCAGGCATCCTACTGATGAATGGTTACGACAATTGACAGTAAATATTAACATGAGCAACAATATTCTATTATAGTTTGTCCCGTTTGAATTAGTAGATTGCCTGTAAACTCGGTAGAGCAGCTAAGTGTATGTCCACCATGAACAAGACATTTAGCAGTTAACAAAGAATTTAACCATTCTCTTTCGTTATTGTGCGTAGATGAAGATGTCAGTCCTGGGGCATCTCGTCTTAGTTGGTGCGGCTCACTTAAGCGCCAGTCCTCAAGCATATCAAACTTGCAAGAAAAAATGAGGCAAATGAAAAGCTCCAGTCTGCAGGGTTCAAAACAGAGTTTGGGCAAGACTAGGCACCATTCCCTCTCCAAATCACCAGGTGCAAAACTGGAAAGGACTGGTTCCCACTTCTCTCGCGGTAGTGAGGCCTCGTTTTACTCCTGTGGCAGCTTGTTGGATGAAATTGATGTGGGGTAAGGAGCCGTGATCAGTATCGCTTATTTAGTCCCCTAGTCCTCCGTTACCAAGAGTATAAGCACTAAAGGATATATGAAAATATATATAATTAAAATGCTAAGGATTGTCTAATCTCATTGAGTATGTGAAATGCATTATTATTTTTTATTTTTTGTACACTCATGCGTGATGGTGTTTGGCTTTGAAAGAGCAAGGTTCGGTGCGTGAGAGTTACTCCCTCGCGCGTCTTTGCGTTCTCGCGCTTGGTGATTTTTCTCGCCCCCTTCCATTGCGAACGTTTACCACGCTGACTATTCCGGTGTAAGGGTTTTATGACCTCAAATTTACCACTGAGATAGTTTAGCAGGGTGCAGTAGTCGTCATCTGAGGGTCGAACGTCGGACGACGGCCACTTTCCAAGCAGATTGACATATGACGCGCGTCCTGGATATTGTGGGAACCGTAACGTATGGTGATAAATGAAATATTAAAGTTGGTAGTGAAAGGGAAAAATTTACTTATCGCCCTGTCACGAGATTGAAGCAGAGGAATAACGGAAACAAACTGAATATTTGTTTAAGTTTGCTGCTGTTTATGATAATGTTAACATCGCTTTGTGTTTAAGTTACAAAGCTTTTAAAGGCAGGCTAACTTGTTGAATTCTTTGTTCTCCAGTCCCAGATCAAGGGTAAATTCGGCGGAGTCATTTGTATCAGCAGTAGAAGAGCCTGATGACCTGATTAAGTTTGAGGACGACATCTTTTCTCCCTCGCATTTTGTCATTTCTTCACCGCGTCTGGTCTATAAGTATTCTGAGCATTTGGGCCAGCTTGAATGTTTAAACTGGAATTCACCTTTGATGATTCCCTCGGAGCAGAGACAATTCAGTATTAATAACAACTTAAAGGTTTGTGCCTTGAAGTGAAATGAGACGGGGTGTTGCTAACTCTTTCCTTTCTATTCTCAAAGTCACTTGTGTGGTTGCTTTATGTATTTCTTACTTCGAGTTTGTGGATCAAACCCTTTGGGGTGACCCTTTCAAATTCAACCTCTTCAATCCTAATTTCACCAGACCACTTTTACATTGTACTATATTTATTAGGTAATTCTAAACTACGAATTTGTTCATCAATTCCTATGGTGTGACCATTCAAATTAAACCACCTCAACAGTACTTTTACACGGTACTTTTTAGTTAATTTGTAGTTCCAACTTTAATGTCTGTTGATTAAATACTCGATAAAAATCAACACGTGTTCGGTAATGCCGGCTTCAGGCGTGTTCAATTCCAAAACCTTGCGGGAATTGTTGTATTTATCTGTTGTATGCTTCCTACACAGGAGACAGAACCACATGAAGACTTCATAATTCCAGGCGTCCCCCAGTTCACCTATCAAGACTGTCCAAAGATGGAATTTCCATTGCTCGTGAAGAAAGTTCAAAAAAGGACAGATCGTGACGAACGGCATGAGGAGGAGGATGCTTCATCTTCCAGTAGTAATGATGGTGGATTTTCCACTGATGCTACAGTCAAGGCAGCCAGTACTGCACAGGACACCCCAAACGAAGCAAGATATGATGACGTCAGGTAGAGGGCCAGTTTTGATTTTGCTGCGGCTCGTTTTAAGTAGAAGGCGGCTTACTCTGCTTCTCTGTGTGAAGGCTACTGTTGGTCTGGGTCAGAATGGAGATTACTCTTAGGCTTTCTTCTTTACGGAAGTGGTATGTGTAATCAAATGGTGACGAGTGAAATTAGGGAATAATTTCACGCGCGTTTTGTGATATGGACAAAACGCAAGGGTTATTTTTCCTTAATTTCACGAGTATACCATTTGATTACCTATTAATATCGTGGGTGACGAATTACGTAAGCAATTTTGGATTTTTGACATGTTTATTCTGGATCGTATCGATCGAGACCTCCACTCTCTCAAATGTTTAGACCTTAAATTTGGCTTGTAAAGTTCAGAATTTTTCAGACTTTTTGGCAAAATACCTGTTAGAATCCTTCTTGATGTTCTCTTGTGCGTTCAGGTTTTCTAAAGCGTCTGACATCTTCATGCACGGCATTTTAAAACTTGGTCGCCATCTTGACACTGAGACGTACGGAAGGTTGCCATGGCAATTTTGTAATTTCACATGTGAAATTACAAATTAACGCTGAAATTTCGCGCCAAAATTAAGGAGTAATTCGTCACCTATGATATTATCCTTGTTATTCGTCATGCGATTTTTGAAAATAAATTGTTAAACTGAAATGACATCTTGACGTTAAAAGTGGGTGTGGCATCGCTTATTACCGCTTCTATACTGAGTCCCCGGTGTCACTATCGTGTTTCTCTTTCTTTTAACGTCACACGAATTGAAGACAAACGATAAGTTTGAGGATTTGTTGTTGAAGCAACATTTTAGAAGGGTAAACGTGGTAGTTGCGTCATTGGTTAAAGACAGCCCGCGTAACTGGCTGTTTTGTTGGGGAGGGGTGCGCAATGAGGAGTGGTGAACCCGTGACGAAAATGAGGCGCTAACAAGGAGAAATGCTATTTTCCTTGTTTGCGCGCTTTCGCAGCTTCGCCGCTTATTTGGGCGCTCGCCAGACAAAACCGCCAACTACACAGGCTGAATGAAGTATTTTTTATCAATTATTTTCCTTTTTTTAGTTCTGGAGTTTTGGACACCAGCGAGCGTGATTCTAATCGCAAAACACGTTGGAACTCAGCCATCAATGAACCGGATCGAACATCAGCGAGCTCTAGCTCAGAATATTCTCCTGTTAGTACTCTGAGGAAATCAACCAAGTCACGCAACGAAGCTACGCTGTTGTTTCGCTTTGTCGGGGACATCAATATTCTTGTCACGCCATTGATTTTGGAAGCCCTTCAAAGGTTTGTGGCAAAACCACTTCAGTTTGCTTTGTTTTGCTTCTTCTTAATCAATAGTTTGTGAAGACTGATATTAACTTTCTGTTTACCAAGTTAGTTAAGTAAATGAGGCAGCCGCGCGTGAAGAGTTTGAAACAATCTCGTTTTGAACACGAATTCTGAAGTGTTTCAATCGCCAGCTACTAAGTCAATGTTCTTTTTGCAGATACCTTTGAGCAGGGTTCGCACAGTGTTGAAGTCCTTGAATTTTTTTTTAAAATTTGAATGTAGTGGACTGGAAAGTATTGTTTTAAATGCTTTTTGCTTGTCCAAGACAGTATAAATCATAGCGCAGAGAAGTTAAAGGTGATTTACATAAAGCAAGCGCCTTTTATTTTATGCAATAATAATATTATTAACTACTAATTTAAGACAAGTGAACTGAAAGATTTAGAGAAGTTGGTGGAGCAAACAGCTCATGCCTTTAAGTCCTGTCAGAGGGAACTGAGACAGTGCATTTTTGTGCAATCTGTGAAATTACATGCATGGTAAGTGGTCCTTGAAAAGTCCTTAAAAAATTGTTGGGGGGTAAGGGGAATCACAGTAGGAGAAGCCCTCCTTATTTGATCCCTTACCTTAGAAACGAGCGTAAATTTTCACAAAAAAAAAATCGGTGACAATATACTTCGTCTCACGAAGACCATGGCGTCTTCTCATTTGTTTCACAGATATTTGTCATCGATATCCCGGCAAGAAAATATTCTTCACCCTGCTCTTGTGGTAGATTTAGTTCATGACAAGTGCGTGGATGCCACTGAAAGCCTATACAACAGGCGCACGACAGAAACACACCCTGGGCCCTGTCTTCCCACTACTGAAGAGCCGAAAGAAAAACAAATGGTTGTCTTCTTTTCAACGGCTAAAATCAACTTTTGCTTTCTTCAAGCGGCGTCTGTTGCTGATAGCACCGAGTCCTTTCTCTCACCGGACGGTGCTCAGGAAGAAAAACCTGCCTCAGTTTCTCTCTTGGCAGGATCGATAAGTGGAGTCACTGCGAAAGTTCTTTCGGTAAGACGTAAACCTGCTCGTGAAGAACACGACCTTCAGACAGAAGAATCAACTGTTGCTGCTCCTGTTATGTCGTCCAGGGAAAAAAATAAGAGAAAATGTGTTGATTTGCAATCCCCAACTAATGAGGAATCAATCCTACCTACTAAAAAGTCGCCGCGTCATCGCAATACCATGACAACGGCCAGTGCGGAATGCGCACAAATTCAATTTCAGCTGCGGAAGTTGTGTGAAAAAGATGACACTGAGAATTGCGTGACCACTGCCATTCCGGAAGAGTCCTCAAGATGCAAGTTTCAAGTCAACAACAGCAGTTATTTCAGCTTTTCGGAGGAGTTTGAGTTTCACGATCAAATTGATTCCAACTCAACTATGAATTTATTAATGTTGGAGTGTGGGCTAGACAATGTGTCTTTCAAAGCCGGAAGTGAGTGCGCAAGCGGAAGTGAAGTATTACCAAAAATAAGAGAGAGAAGACGAGCTTCCGGTACTCCCAGTGAGTACAGGAAGCTCTCGTTTGGAAAACAAAGCGCTACTGAAGCTCATGGATTTAACAACCCCATTTTCGACAGAGAAGTAGCTCTTTCCGGAGTGCGTTCAAATCTAGCTGAGCAGGACCGGAAGTCAGAGGCCTCTTTGAGCCACACCAGCTCCCTGCCATCGAGTCGAGGTTCGCTCAGTTCCTCAAGCGGAAATGATTCTGACAAGGAAAGCGATGCGGATGATGATGTTACAAAACCTCTTCTTCGAGTGGGCGGACATTTAGGCAAAGAACCTCCATGCGTCATTAAACCAGAAGAAATTGAGGCGAAAGATGCAGAACTCGCACGGCGAACCGACGTTACAGTGAATTTCACGAATATTTGGTTCAACCTCTCTTCACCCTCCTCTTTAAAGACTGTTCCCGCTAATTATCATTTGTATAACAGCCTTGTCACAACTGCTGTTCCTTTCGTGACAGCTTGGATTCCACCGGTCACGCAACTCAGGCAGGTTGTTGGCGATCTAGAGAAGAATCACCAGAGATTTCTCAACTCTGTGTTTGCTTGCCTACTGGCACAAGCGCTACCTGAGTCCGGACGGATTCCAAAAGCGGTAAGATTGTGTTGGAATATCCGCGTAAGGTTTTCGTTAGGTTCGTTGTCCACCTTATTTTATTGGGTCAATGTGATGTCGAATTAAGTTGTGGGGTGTTTAGTGACACTAAAATTATGGGCTCTTTGCAGCTTAACGGTCACATCGGACAAAAATAACTTGCTTGGGGAGACTGAGACGTAGTGAGGCTAGAAAAACAAAGAGGTCACACGACATCTTCATTCAAACAGCCAATTTCCTTCCACTGGGTTGTTTTTCCTTCATCAAAGTTTTTTGTGAGTTGAGTAAACACATAACTTTAAAACTATGTTATGTGTGAACTTATTTAGCAATCACTTTAACTTGCTGAAAGGAAAACAAAAACCTGTTTTTTTTTTTTATTTTCTCCCATTTGTAGCACACAGTAAGCTCTTCATCGACAGAAAAATCCAAGTTTCTTCAGGAAGATCACTCAAGCCAGTTGATTTACATCCTTCGTCGACAGCTTATCGGTTCCAAAGTCAACAAAATCAAACATTCGCTTGCCTTGAAAACGAGTATTCCGGACAACAAAAATCTTGTGAAAGGAATCTTTGCCTTAGCGAGACAGTGGAAGTGCTTTTTGGCGGGAACGGAGAAAGGCGAAGTTGCTTTTTACGGGTCTACTTCATTGAAACGTCGGGTGGTGGGACGTGGAGTTTTGACACAAAGAGACCGCGCTATTTTAATGAGGGAGGAGAGGGCAAGCAGGCAAGAAGATGCGCCTTTGAATCTAAACGTTGGAGGTGTTAAGGGGACAGAAACACCTGTGGTTAACGTGAACCAATCAGAAGAGCAAGGTTTGTTTTCTACCAACTCCTCAATTTTTCTTTCAACGAACTGCCGGGCTGGGACGCTGGGTAACATTTCAAGGCTCCAAGGCTTTGTTTACACTTGGCCACGTGGATAACGCTATCCACAAGATAAATCTTTATTCAGTAGATAAAGCAATTGGTTTCCTAATACTTCAATATCTACTGAACAGTGATTTATCCGGTGCATAGCGATATCCAACGCCGTTTGTACAACCGGGGCCATGTGTCCGAGTAGGATTCTGTTGCACCCGCCTAAGGTGAATAGTCTCTTTTCTAAAGTACTCGTGCCATATTTTCGACCCGTGCCCACCTACAATGTCATGACCTTTCATTCTGTTCCCTGTGAACACACCTTAATTTAATGGCATCTTACTCACAGTTTCTTATGAAAACTGGCGAAGAGGTTCGTTATCCCCGAAGTCTGTGAGTTTCGTTACTCTGCGTATGACTAGTCCAGTATACACTAAGCTCAAGTTGTTCCAAAGCTGGATAGCGCTATCCACCGTTTGAACAAATGGCACCAAACTTCATCGCCCACTTTTCTTTTGCTCTCGTGTTTGGCCTACTCACTGTTTATTTACTGTCCCTACTTCTTTATTATTTTCAACAGGTGAATCTCCAACTGACACCCCAGTGAAAACAGGCAAAGATTCTCTTGCGTTGGAGCTGGAGCCGCTAGTTGCCAAACCTTCCCCTGAACCAGTTCACTTGGATATCCCGAGACCGAAGCGGGACGTCCCGCAAGAGAGTGACACTGACTCAGACTATTCCCCTCCAGCAACTATCAAAAAGCCCTCCAAGGGAACTACATTTGCCGAGGGAAAGAAAATGGGACATCATAAACAGCTGAGCTTATACAGCTGGCTCTCATCACCACCTACTACCTCTCCTCCTACCACTACACAGTCCAAAGCTACGAGCGCTGGACTGGAAACAAAGACAGGAGAGCTGCTGACAAATGGTGAGAAATATTTATTAGAGAGCTTTAGATTCTAAGACGAGTACGACAAAGAAAACGAGATTTGACTTAAAGCTTTTTCGCGTATTCTCAAAAAATAGACTCCCCGGAAAGCTTCATTTTACCATTTTTTCACCAGAAAGGTTAGCACTGTTACCTTTAGTGAAGGAGGTTACATCCTCTACTAAACGCAAAATGATAAAACTTCTTGCATTTGATAACTTGTTTCCCCCACTTCGACATTCTCGCTAAAACTCGTAGTGGAGTGATGACGACACCACTTTTTCCCGCCAAAATGACGCTGGCTCACGCGCGTACACCACTTAGCGTTGAGAAATCTCGTACTCGTAGTCGTACTTGTTTTAGAATCTAAAGTTCTCTATTATTTAGATTCGAGTAAGAGGACGAGATTTAACTTAAAGTTTTTTCGCGTATTCTCAAAAATATTGATATCCCGGAAAACTTCATTGTACTTTTTTCCACAAGAAAAGTTGGCTCTGTTATTTTTATTGAAGGAGGTTACGCCCTCTCCCGATCCTAAAATGATAAAACCTCTAACATTTGATAAATTGTTTCTGCTACTACGACATTCTCGCTAAACCTCGTAATAGAATGATGACGGCTATCACGTTTTCCCTCCAAAATGACGCTGGTTCACGCGCGAGTACTTCTTAGATTTGGGAACATCTCGTACTGGTAGTCGTACTCATCTTAAAATCTAAAGCTCTCTGTTGATTTTTGCTGGGAGGACGGAGTAAACAGAAAGTTATCTGAGAACGGCAAAAAAGCAATTGCTGGTTTGCACGTGACGTCACGGCGGCCATGTTGGTGGTCAAGAACAAAAGCATTTCTCTCCTCTGGGAACTAAACTCTATTTTCATGTAAATTCTTCGAGGAAATATTCTTTTGTTTTGACCCCCAACATGGCCGCCTTATCACGTGGTTGCAAACCAAGAATAGGTTCGTGTCTTTGCCGTAGTTTCACGACTGCAACGTGAAACTTCTTAGTTTCACGTTTTTGGGGGACTTGTGGGTACAAAACAACAATATTTCCTTTTCTGTTTCTGAATTTAGATACAGTGCGTTAGAATTCAACTCCAGAACTGGCAAATTGAACGAGATGGAATATGAGCGATGAAGTTTGAAACAGGGCGAATTCACTTTTTATAAACTAACGTTTTCTCCTCCACCTTTGCCATCGTGGCTGCTAAAGCTCCCCATTGACCGCATGCCGGGCATAATCTAGCTAGTCACAAAAGGTAGTAAAGCTGCTGGAGCAAAGAAACCGCCACTTTTGATTCGCCGCATTACTGTGCATGTCTTACTATATAAGAATTGTGTTCTATTTTTTTTAACCAGGCTTTTCATCAAAACCAACATCACCTATGCAGCCAGGCCTGTTCAGCGATATGGTGAGCGTACCGACCAGCGGTAAACAGATTAAAGACGAGCGCGAGACATTTAAGAACTTTCTACAGGCCATCAATCTGATGCCGCGGGTTGCCAAGCAACAGGACACAGCCAGCACATTCTCTGTGAGCACCAATCTGAGGTACCTTCACGTCCATCTTGTAGACGGAGGATTTGATAACTTGGCAAAGAAAGGTAAAGGAAAAGGAAAGAACCGCGTAGAGGCTGAAGATAAAAAGAAGCGGAGACAGGTACGTTGAAGAGTGACCTTCTCAGATTCTAACTTATCATTTTTCAAAGTTGCTTTGGCTACTGACAGTCCCAAGTGTACGCTAATTAAGCTGACACAGTTGACATACAACACCTGTAACTGCTAAAGATCCTTTCGTATTCTTGTGGTTTATGGGATATCGACTGCTATCGAAGTGGTTATCATGATCCATTTAGTGCTTATGATTTATTTAGTGCTTATAGTTAACCAAAGACCTGTAGATTGATCGTTGCTTCATTTTTCTGAAAAATAAATCAACAATTGAATAAATTAAAATATAGATACAAAGGTAAGGAATAGAGAATACTTTTTAGAAATTTTGATTTGTCCGTCACTCTTAGGGACTTGTCAGAAATTAGCAGGGGGGAGTGGGGGGGAGGGGTGGAAATTTTAAATTTGGGTTCGGAAATGAGATGACCCATCCCTGCAATGGGAGTGAAATTTGCTAACCCTCCCCTTGACCTTGGCCTAAAATATCATGACCCTCCCCCCTCTTGTATAAATGATAAAATCTAGTTCTTGCGATACACTAGGGTGAGTCAGGATTATGAAAGCTCAAAGTATATTTCTAATCTGTTCTTTGCAATGCCATACACACAGATTTTAGATGACAGCATTAAGAGTCCGACTCTGATTCTGACAGCTGATCACTCGACTCTCCTATTTCCCCCAAGTTTTTTTTTTACAAAATAAAGAACTTCGTTTTTCTTCTTTGTGTGAACCTCTACATGATCACGGACACATATTTGCATGACCCTTCCCCTTTTAACGGCCCATTTTTCATGACCCCTCCCTTTTCTGCAGTCTCAAAAAGTTGTGACCCTCCCTCTGTTTCCCCCCCCCCCCCTCCCCCCTGCTAATTTCTGACAAGTCCCTTATCTGGAACCAGTTTTTCATATCCTTGAGATTTCAAGAAATCACTTATTCACCTTATTTGCACTCTTGTGTTTTTCTTGTAGGAGACAGATCCAGTTTTCATCGCCAGAGACTTCGTTCTCAGATTTCTTCACGATGAAACTCCACTAGATATTCCTCCCCCTAAGAGCGCAAAAAACAGTTTTCACTCGGCTGACGAAGACAGTAGTAAGATGACACAAATCAAGTTCACTGTGGGCTGTGGAAATATCACTCAGCGCGTCAATCTCTCGTTCATCCGCTTGAGCCTCCAGGTCGTTGACATGCTTGATTTGTTGTCGGATTTTATCTCAAAGAGCACTGAAAATGAAAAGCCGCTAAGTGCGTCTCAAAATCCCAGCTTTATGTCAGCTTTTGACAAAACTGATGGGGTGCAGCCGGGAAGAGCTAAGGTGCCTCTTGATCATGTAAAATGTTGGAGGATCATGTTCCATGTTGTGGATCTTTATTCGTCCTTACCGCGTGAGGCCAAGAATAAGGGCTTTTTGAGGAGGAACAACATTGGACGAGTGCTTGGGGGTAAGCTAACAAGAGATACTTATTGAAGGGGTGAACGTGATGTTGAAAGCGAAAAAAGTGAAATCAGTAGTCAATTTAAAAAAACTTTTACAAGTGTACCCATTGTTTTGGAGTCTGAAAACATTAGCCACGTTTGCAAATTGCACTAGTAAAAGTTTTATTAAATTGACCCCTGTTTCTTATACTTTCGTTAACTTCATTACGAGTTTATACTCATAGTTTTTAGTATTTTTTTGGCGAACAACATCTGGGAAAAATGTATTAGTGCAAACATAACCTTGCTCTATGTGTTCTTTGGTGATTTATTCCTTCATCTTTGAATTCTACGTGTAAATACTTCATGAGAATCAGAAGGACAACAACTGTGAAGGATGAGAAACCTTCGCCACTTCGCCTAAAAAAACTTCGAAATTTAAAAATAAATAAAAACTATAAACTGTTGGTACTGCGTGCCTCACGCCGTCCCTTCCCTTTATCCACCGTGAATAGTATCTTACATTAATAAAGTTCCTTTGAACTTCAGGATTTCATTTTCTTTCCTTTTTTTCTTGTAAGCGGAGAGATTGTCTTCAGAAAAGCCTCGGGATGTCAAAATTGACATTGAAGATGGACTTGTGGAAGGTAGAAAAAGACGGCGCGCTCAGAGTCCAGTTAGTTCCGACAAGAGAAAGTCAGGGGCAAGCCGTAGCACCACTGAGGCAACAGCCACTCCTGAGCAGGAGGATGCGCCAACTGTTATACCGCTGAGCACAGTGTTCGGCGTCGTGACCTTACCTCGAGTGAAACTGCTGGCCACTATTGGCGGGCTTATTTTGGAGACGGAGATTAGAGAAATGAGCGCTTCGTTCTCTCGCAAAGAAGAGACTGAAAAGGATCACAAAGGTTTGACATGACTTCTTTCTTCCTGGTACTCTTTCAAACTTTGTGTAACTTAAGATATCTATGGCGGGAACTAAGTTTGTGTTTGTATTTATTGTTTTTAGGCCAAGTGTTGTCTTCTGTGACAGCACATCTGGGAAAAACTAAAGTGGATTTAAAGGAAGCCTCAAAGTTTGTCACAGGGTAATGGAAGAAAGAACTAATGTACTAAATTATTGACTCATTCTTATCTAGACTGGCCGTAGTTTAGGCGTTGTTACTGACTCGAGGCTTGGGGTGACAAAATAGGGTGATAAGTATGAAATTATTCACTCAAGCCTCGGTTTCGTTTCATTTTGTGAGTGTTCACTGTAACGGAATGCAGGAAATGTTTATAACCACGCCTGATCATTTTTAACGTCTAGTATTTACAGCAGTTTAATTTGCCACACATGCGCAGCTTCCTGGAGTATCATTAACATCTTTGTAAAATAATACAGAGGAATGGGCGGTCGTTTACTTAAAAAAAACTTAGTATACACTTTTTAATTCCTCGTAAGTACATTTGAAAAAACAGTTGTATTGAAGAACATGACAGAAAAACGCAATTATTCCACGAAAAAGAGTCAACCGCATTTTTTTTTGCCGGAACTACCTGGTATTTGTTCTTCTAGGGTTGTGATATGATTAATTGTTCGTTATAACCTTTTCTTTAGGACTGTTGTGAGCTGTAGCCTGTCTCGATCACATGGTCTGTACTCGTCTCTTACGCTCGACACGGAGGAGAAAGGTAATGCACTTGTAACACTGGGGATGATCGACATCGATATCCCGCAACATCCTGTTGCGTTACACTCAATGATGACGCGCAGTTCACGCGCCATATCACGTCACATCTCGGAGATCCAATCACAAAGATCGGTCATAAGGTAAATGTTTATATTTTTTGTTATAAGCTGATAATAAGTGCTTGAATTTGTTGAAAGTCTGCTTAGTGGGACAGCTAAACACACTACCTGTAGTTGTTTTCATCTTTCAAACCGTTATCGCAGGTATAACTGGTATTCATTTTGCACATAACGTACGTAACACATCGTTGGAGAAAAGATAGTCTAAATAACTCGGATACTTTACTCCCGGTATTGCACAGACGAGACTTAGGACCACCGTGCTTGGTTGTTTATCCAATACACACTACTAGATTCTACTGGAAACACCAATTGATTCCACTGGGCTCCTTATTTGGGGGGATTTAGAAAATTATGAATCATGATGTATACAGTGCTTGTTGCGGGTTATGACGTTAGAAACCACTATTTTATATTACTTGTGTATGGTGATTGTCTTTGGTCATGGCCTAAAGAACGAGGTATCTCATGACTAGACTTTCGGTAATCCTACTCTAGCCTAGGTGTTGACTGGAATCTAGTGGAGAGGGTACAGCACTTTCACTATTTAAATGCGATTGTATTGTTTTTAGATGACTTGTAAATCAAATCTCTTTAAACTGCCCTCATGTGTTTTCCCTTTTTAGGTCTATGGCCAGTTTTCACGACAGTACTCAGTCCCGCATGATGCCCAACAGATTATCTGGTGTTCCATCTGAGATCTCAAGGCTTTCCCAGCTTATATCACCATCTACCGTCAAGCAGTTTGCTCCCTGGGATCGAGTGGATAGTTCTGTCCCAGTTCCCACTGTGTCCACGATCTCCTTCACCTGTGTTCTGAAAGGATTTGGGTTAGGCGCTTCGCTGCTGCCTTCACTGAGGGCGGAATACAAGGTAAGTAGATGAGCCTTCAGCGGAGTACTTCTGAATTACTTGACTGGAGCCTACTATGAACGAATTTGAACATTCAAAACAGAAGGTCACTTGGTTACCCTCAAACCACTTCGGAGCTCTTAAGAACTCTTCTGAAAATGTCGTGCGTTGCTGATCCAGGTATTCATGGAAAGTGTTGTTGTTGTTTTTTACGGAAGGAGAAAACCAGTGTGTTTCATGAATACAGTCGTCAGTTTTCTCTAACCTCCAAAACTGCCCAAAATTAAAACTAAGCCAGTAAAAATGAAAAGGACAGTATCACAAACAGTACCAAGGAAAAGTACCATCAAGCAGGTTCCAGTTGAATTGTTATCGCTGAGAATTTCGTCTAGGTGTCTGCATGATTGTTTATGGATGGAAAAGTGTCTAATTGTAAATCTCCTCTCGATGTTCTGAAATACAAATTTCTCTCCCGTAAAGATTTTATGCGTGATCAATCCTCATTGAATGATCGCCTATCTGACAGCTGCAGACATTTAATGGTGTTTATGCATTTATCATTCCCCCAGGTGGGAAGAATAACAGGATCTGGACGAAGTGGAAGGAAGAGCTTCTTTAAGTTGGCCATGCCACTTCACAGTCTAAGTTTTACATCCAAGGTACGTGTTTCATCCATAGCTAAGCCAAGTTTACAGGGTTCATGCTCTATAAAGAACGTATAATTTGATGTTCTAAATTATTCTTTTTTAGAATTAATTTGAAAAGATTTTTGTTGTAAACAAAAATAGGACAAGTGTACGTCTCTCGAAATGTAATATTGTAATACTGTTTTTCTAATCTAATTTAGTGTGAACAAGCAAGATATCAATATGTTCTCATAGAATTAAACAACTCATATGACGATACGATACTCAATGTGGTTTACTTTTCTTTCAGGTCCAATCTCTTGACGTTACGCTTCCACCGGCCACTGTGGTGGAGTTGCCTCCCGTTAACATGCACGGTGAACTCATTTCCAAACTTCCCCGGCCTGTCAGAGCCCGCGATAGTCCTGGGGAAACCGGAGAGGGCCTCCGGCATCGTTCTTCATCTAAGACACATTTATATGTCTCGGCAGAAATCGGTGCCTTTCAACACAGCTTGACTACAGATCTACTCAATCATCTGGTGTTTGTACAAAAGAGTTTTATGAAGGTCAGTAGCGCCACAGGAAAAAAACACTATAGTTTGATGAGGGGTGCTCGGCTTAAAGGTAAACGAGAAAAGTGGGCCGCGCGACAGAGATGACGAGATGATGACGCAGATGATTGGATGATAGTTAGTATTTGTATGACTTGTCCCTGGTGAGTTGTTCTTTTAAAATTGTCCTTTTTGACTTGTAAGTTTCTTTGTTTTCCCTGTAGGAGGTGAACGACGTTCTTCAGCGGGTGTCGGGTGAAAGCCAGCCTGTTCCACTGTGGAGAACAGCCTCGACTGAAGATTTGGAAAACGTAAAAGAGAAAGAAATTCCCTTGTTATATTCCTTCCGCCTAACTCTTAAGGTAGGCAGTCTGAAATAAATACCCCTTCAACAGGACAGTTATTCATCGTGAAGTCATCTCTGGTGTTAGGTTTATTAGCGCACGCTTTTTCCTGGACAAAGCAATGCGGTCAGTAGGCATTGCGCCCTTAATCTCCCTAAAACATAGACACAGGCAATCGATGATAATGATGACGATGATGATGATGATGACGATGACGATGACGATGATGGTGATGATGATGATGACGACGACGACGACGACGACGACGACGGTGATGGTGATGGTGATGGTGATGGTGATGGTGATGGTGATGATGATGATGATGACGATGACGATGACGATGATGATGACGATGATGGTGATGGTGATGATGATAATGACGACGACGACGACGATGACGATGATGATGATGATGATGATAATGATGATGATGACGATGACGATGATGATGGCGATGATGATGACGATGATGATGATGATAATAGTGATGATGATAATGATGACGACGACGACGACGATGATGATGATGATGATGACGATGATGATGATGATGATGATGATGATGATGATCACCATCTTCACCATCATCTTTGTCATCATCATTATCGTCATCATCATCTACATTATAATAATAAGGAACTTCAGCTGTTTCGTACAGGAAAACACCAGATGTTTCTTAATCGCCTCTCATTTTTGTATCACAGGGAATCCAAGTGACTGCCACAACTCCGTCATCAACAGCGGTCAGGTTGGATACAGGAGTGGTAGCTCTAGAGGTGTCCAATTCTACGCCGTCATCTAACCTCCTGCCTGGACAACTCAGGCGAAGTACGTTATGTTTTCGTCTCATATTTTACTTTACTTGTTCAGTCCATAGTAATTTTGGGTGGTTTGAAAATCCCGTGGAATCAGTTGCGTTTTGACTGTGACTGTGAAGTCTGAAAGTAAAGTGTACTTCATTTGTTTGCCTCGTTTGCTAAAAGAAGAACCTCTCATTTTCAACGGTGTCCTAGTAGCTGGCTAAACTGCCTTGGTCAGATCATATCTACGTTCTTACCGTGTTTCGTAAATTTAGTAGGCTGATTTAGCAACAGGACGAGAACGTCAATGGCGACGGGAGAGCGCGCGGAACGGACTAAACACGACTTCCGGTGCCCGATTTGCCGCTCTGCCATTGGTCAAGCCAGTTGTTTGATTTGCGCGCGCCGTTGTCAACTGACGTTCCCGTTCTGATGCTAAATCAGCCTAGTATTTCATTCTCACCGTTTTGGTAAAAGAAGGAATTTCTCCAGTCCGTTTTACGATGAAATTGATGTATGTGTGAAACAAGAGAACTATTATCTTCCGTAGTATGAGATTTGTTTATTTTACACCCTGTTATATATTAACAGGTAGCAGCTATGTGAAACTCTTTGGAAAAGCACAAGTGGATGTCAATCTCTCCCTTGGACAGTTTGTTAAAGTAAATTCACGATTGTTATTCCTTATCCTCTTTTGTTTCATTTATTCAGAAATTTATGAACGCGGTTCAAAGTTTTTCTCTCTTTCTCCTCAGAGTCGTAACATTGACAACGAATTCGATTTTCAACAGTTGGCTTACTTTAAGACCAGAATCGGAGTTAGCAATTCATTCCAGGTACGTAAAGCGTCCTAATTCATACAAAGAAATTTTTTCAAAGAAACGAACGTTTGTCGGATAAACGGCAGACGTCAAAGAAAGTTTTCTTCTTGGCCCACTGTTAGTTTCTTTCTTTCTTTTATTTTTTTATAATTCACCAGATTTGGTTTATTTACTAAGTATTTGTTTAATATGCTTTTGTTTAATATAATGCTTTCGAGTGGGTTACTGCAAATCTGCAAACAACAACATTCAATGATCGTTGGCTTGTCAATGAAAAAATTTCGTATTTACCTCTGCAAAGTCTACTTTACCTGCATCTTAGAGAAAATGACAAGCTGCCCAGTGTTTCTGGCGGGATTTCAGTCAGGGTTGTTGTTCCTTAGCTTCTAAGAAGTCCGAATGGTATTTAAATCCCGGGGTTTAATTTTTGTTTGTACAATGAAAAATTTTGCTTGTCGCTATCTGTTCTGTTCAGATGGCTAAACAATTTGGAGGCCGGAAGCGCCGCCGGGATTTTGTCGTGAAATGCTACCGTTGCATTCCGCAGAATACGCAAAGGGTACTAGCTTTGTGATTAGCTGTATTCTCTATGGCATGGGTCAAGGAAACCCTTATGGCTTTGCTTATAATATATTTTAAATAGTAAAAAGTTGGTCTGCCTGTTTTTGTTACACAGGACAGCAGATCATTAGCTGGTACTGAAGACAAAGAGACCTTTCTAGTGACGCTGACTAAACCGTGTCTGTACGTACAACAAGTCGCCTTCGATAAAGGTGAGCACGTGAACTGGATCTAAGGTGAAAACCTCTTTGACACTGTTCGTAAGAGCAAGGGGACTTTGCACAATGATTTGTATTCTCTGGGATGTATGTTTTGTTATTGTCTTTGTTAATGTTACCGTTTTCTCTTCAGCCGTTCTAGTTTATTTGAATTACAAGAACGCATACGAACACTGGAATGAGCAACGACTTGCTCTTAATAAAGAGGTACGGATTATATATTTACTCATTTTTTTGTCTTAAGTAGCATTTACGATGTGGATGGTAGTCAGAAATAGACATAGGTTGCCGAACAGGACCAGCTAACGCCCCCATGGGTTTCCTGAAACCTTCCTGGTTTCTCTCTAAAATGAAGAACATGCTAGCAGGCTAGCTTTAATTTTCTCTCGTGCAAGGTACGACTGTAAGGCTGATGTGCGTTCATATGTGGCTGGCATTCTTAAGGTTCTTAATAGGCGTTCGATATCGCTTGAGACGTGTAAGTTCACGAAATTGATTTACCTTCGTCTTTTTTGCTCTCTTGTGTAGCGTCTTGAGCTGAACTCTGCCGCAAGTGATGTTAGTATAATTGATTTTCTGCTTTTTTACAACAGCCTGCGCTCAGATCACTCTCAACTACACTGTGTTTGCTCAATTGTCATTGATGTATCATTCCGCATTTGTTGTAGAAAATAATAATGTTGTGCAAGTGCGATCATGATCATTGATTGTTGGCTAACGCCCTTTTCCCGCATCTCAAACGGAGTTTCATTTTTCACTTGTTATCCCCGTATTTGTGTCCTACTTAAAATTCACAGTAACAAGCCATAGTTTTATTCTTAATTTGTCGAACGACAGTCATTTGTCATCAACAGTCCGATAATGACTTTACTGACCCACGATCAATCATGTTAAACGTACTAATGGTGATTTATTGGTTGAGAAGATGGATCGAGTTTTTTATAAATTACTTTTTGCTGAACTAATCACGTAACGTGGGGAGGGAAAACTAAACTAGGCACGAACTACCTTTAGATAAATTTTCACGAGTTTGAAGTGAAAACCACGTAAATCTATCGATATTAATCATTTGTATATTCATTCACAGTCAAGGTATTGGCCAGTTAGTCAGCTAGTTGCTAGAAGTCTTAGTCGATCGGTGAGTCCGGGATTGTGTTAGGGTGAGACCGTTATAGTTAGGGGTGACTATAGGTGAATAGTTAGTTGCTTGGTAGACTAACACGGTTGCCAAAGGTGAATAGTTGGTCCGATAGTCAAAATATAGCTTACCCCTTTTATACTGGGCTTTAGCTGTTTGACGATGCATTGGAAAAAGTAGGAAGATAGAGCTCAATCATCTTACACTTCCCTTAGTTAGCTGTCCCTTTAAGGTGGTTATGATCTGTTATCGTAAAGTAAATTGTACCCGATATTTTGCTTTGGCTGAATAACACAAGCACTACACAGACCACCTACTCTGATAGCCAACTTACTTAGCTGAAAACATGTTTGCCATAGGCGATACCGCTTGTTCGTACAATTAAAGTTGCGTAAAACGTTAGGAAGCTTTTATGAAACGTGATGTTTTTCCAGTCATGTTAAAGAGTTGGCTGAAAATTACATTAGTTAGTACCCAGAATGTCGCCCTAAACTAAACGCAGAACGTAGGTCATTTAGCAGAAAGTTTATGTCCTGTTTCTCCTATCTGCAGGTTCACTTTGCCACTCAAGCCGTGTTGGATAAACTGCCTCAAAGAGCGCCGCCTTCTCAGCTGTCAGGATCTCTCTTCCTTCAACTCACAGTTGATCAATTGGGGGTTTGCATTCCACTCTACAACGGCAATCAGGTATGGATAAGAGGAGACTTCATAGTTAGTCAGTCACGTGCCATTACTAACTCGAATAAGCGATTTTGCTCATCTTAGTTTTTACTTTCTTTAATTTCATAACTTGTCTAGTAGATTCGATTGGCTGTTGAACACCTTTTAACGTTACTTCCTAACGTTTTGATCCAGGGGTTGGGGGTAATTTTAGTTTCAGCATGAGCATTTTCGTTCGCGAGTTTTTACTGTTCTTGATTATATTAATTTCACCTGTTAATGATGACTGTAATCGAACACCTGTTTTTTCATTTTCAAGGCTTTCGGACAGGGCTTTCAGATGAGATATGCAGGTAAGTTGAATAAAGAATTTTTCAGTTCAGAGGTTCGCAAGGCACCCGTACGTTGAACCACATTGAACACAGAACCTGGCACATCAATTTAATGACTTTATTATGTTACTAAGCCTTATGGATGAATTAAATATAATGCGAGACACAGCTCCTCTAAGGCGATTTTTTTTGTGAGTTTTTACGACCAAAACCGCACAGCTGTAGCAATGCAATACAAAACTAAGGTCTGAACATGAAAACGGGTGACATAATTCCTGTTTCAGTTGCGTCCAATATTTTATGAATCATTTTCTTTTACGTGGGTAATTTTCTTGCGTTTAACAACTGCGTCGCTGAGTGGAGTTGGGTGCCCGGGATGTCCAGGGGCTACCACCTTTGGCACAGCCAGCCCTTAGACAGAGTCACGTCCCCATGGCTGGCAAACCCGCGCCCTCCAACAATGAGCCCCCACGCCAATGGAGCGTGGAGGCATGGGGGTAAAAGAATGATCAAAAGGCTAAACGAAGAGAATGGCAGCCACGAAAACACTGTCCTGAGTACATGGAGGTGATGCGAGCAAGGCTGACCGCGCTTGAGCCAAACGACTGACCGCTGACCACGCTCGCGCTCCTTGTTGTTAACTGTGTTAAATAAATATTTATTTAACCTCATTTAATCGTTCCAGAACAAGAGCCTGGCCCGGCCATGGTGTTGAGAGTGGACCACATGCTGCTGACCTGTTGTTCCACTATATCATTTGTCAGTAAAGGAAAGTTCACTAGCTTCTCTCTTTGGTTCGCTGACAAATTTGACACCGACACAGATGACTGGAAACCGAACTTTGAAAGTGGAGTAATGTCAAGATGCAGTCGATGTAAGGAATCACTTCACAGTTCTTTTGTCTTTTGTACAGTTATAATACCGTAAAATTGCTTGCTGAGTTTAATCTGCATTTTTTTAAACTTAGGTGTTGTTCCTGAAGGAACTTATGAACTGTGCTCCAGAACGCAGAGGTATCCCGTGGCACAAAGGTAAACAAATCCAAAATTATTGACTTCTTCAACTATAAATAGACTGCGAATCAGTTTTCAAACGCAAATTTCCATAGATAAGTACGAATATAAGCCGCGTCCAAAAAAAGCCCCTCAAACCGCGAGATTAGAAAAATATAAAGCCTGAGAAGAAAAAAATAAATTTTACGTAATCTATTGTTGCTGAGTTTAATCGTGGTTTTTAAACTCGCGTTGTTCCTGAGAACTTAGAACTGTGACGGAACGCAGAGGTATCCCGTGGCACAAGGTAAGAATATCCATCAGCGTTGACTGATTACAGTTGTAAATGTATTTGCCAACATTTGGAGTACTCTCCGTGAAATTGATGTTTGTTTCGCAGAAGCCATAAAATGATTGTAAAGAATACTTCAAACCTTCATTTCATGTTTACTAAAGATCCAACCAAATAGGAACTGTTTTCTTACGACCACCTAAAAGCGTTACTCATCTACGTAGGCGATTACTGACGGCCGCAGTTTGCACCATCTTTTCGTTTTGAATTCTTTTATCGTGCAGATGCGATGCCATTACAAATTTTGTGTAGAATAATGATAAACAAAGCTACACAGTTTCAAGCACCAACAAAAGCATGCTGCTAATTACCGTGTTTAGACTCACTTTGACCGCTTTTATAGACATAGTATTCACACGTTTGGATTGGCAGTGATACCAAATACCAGCTCCTCTTTTTGTAAATTAATTGTAGCTTGTTTTAAGCGAATAATTCTTTATCTTTCGACCAGACATGGTAAAGGCGGGCAAATGGGTGATGTCATTCCAGTGGCGAATGTGTGGTATTGAACTTCACTGCGATACAAGCATAGGTAAGCACCTGTCATCTTTGGGACAGACGCTGACCGCTTTGGCAGGTGAGCCGGATGTGGCTAACATAGACTCGGTAACGGAACTACAGGATAGAGATCCTTCCATGGAACACGCTGAAGAAGGTAGAGATGAAGTGGATGGCAAGCCAAGAGCGGGAAAACTGTCCAAAACAATGATTGAGAAAAATATGTGGGAACAGGCCCGCAAAGTCAATGAGCTCAGGTGAGAACAATTAAATTGGTGCAATTTTCACTCAGATTGCGCGTTTGTAGGTTATTAAGTTTACTTATAGCGATGGTCGATGACAAAATTTATTTCAAGACCGAACTTTTGTCCAAGGAATAAATTTCCTTCTATGAACTCTCCAAGAATCGGTTCATGAGAGCCCATAGTTGGTTTTTTGTTAAACAAAAGCTCATTTTCAATTTTACCTTTCGTCGTTAAGTGTCTGTTCAAGGGATTATTGCAGTGGGTGAATTCTTTTTCCCTGTCCAAATTGTGTTTTACTTTAATATCGCTGGATGATGTCTCTGTTGAGGCCTTATATATACTGTTTTTTCCCAAAGCTTACCTCGTTTTCATTAACAGACTAAATAAATTCCCTTAACTGTCATACATTACCTTGACGTGCGCCCCGTGGGGGGTAGGACGATCGGATCATTATACGTTTTTGAGAAACTGTCCACCTATCCCTCCCCTGAGCCAACACTTTGTCCTAAGTGAGAAGTAAGTGTTAATGTTGACTTAGGGGAGGGGTAGGTGGACAGTTTCCCAAAGCCCGCGTGGTAGGCATTCAGAAGGGGAGAAAAAGAGGAAAATCGGATGAAGGCCCTTCAGGCAAGCTGGGAACTTAATTATCGGAAGACGCTTGAGTTAAGAAACGTCCGCTATTCTTTTTTTAGGCGAAAAGCTGATGTGGAATCTTACATTGTGGAACAAGAAACAAGGCGGTTGCAGGATCTAGAGAGTGCTGTGTTTAACGAATTCCGTAAAGATGTGCGCAAGAAATTTCGTCGCCACTCACGTTCCGGGCGTTCAGTCTTGTCAAAAACTTCTGAGTCGGACAGGCAGGTTTATTTTACTTAGTTAAGAACGCACAGGTTCTCTTCATGCTCGTTTACTAGTAACGTGCTGAATACGAGTCCTTTTTTGGCTCATAAGTTAGAGAATTCAATATTTTATAAATTTTTGTCACAGACTCGAGGGGAACAGTGAATATACTTTTTTGTTTTAATAGTTTACGTGGCTTACGTTTTATACCCTCTGCTATTATAGTCCCTGTTCATCTCCACAGTTATTCAAGGTTAGCCTTATATATAGATTATTTACAAAAAAACCGGTGGAAAGGTTCCTAAAAATGAAAATAAAAATAAATAGCGATTGACAGACCTATCTTATCCTATCAGAATCCGTGAATCTTTTCACTACCGTTAACGTCTTACTAATTCTTGCTGTTTCGAAGGTAGGGGGCATCCAGACTACAAGCTAAAGAAACCGATTCTCTGGCCCTTGTTATTTGATAAGTGCATTACATACCGAACAACCCTAACTGTTTTTTTTAATCTCTCAGATCAAACCTGCCGAACAGAAAGGTGAAATCCGAAAAAGTGAGAGGATCCAGGACTCGATCTCGTCTCAAACCACAAGCTAGTGTTGATATAGACGATGTGGAGAGTGAAATGGTGGAGATGCCATCGACTCCCCGTAAATTAGCCCACGACTTCTTCTCGGGGGACTCACCTATGATAACATGCGAGGACACCTCGGAAGATGCTATATTCGGTGGCCGATCGCCATCCCTTCCTGATATTTTAAACGTCGGTTATAGAGCTGATCAACTGGCACAAAACGCCGATCGTTTGACAATGCGAAACATCCCACAGCAGGATGATGGAGCTGCAGCAGACCATGCTGGAACTGGGCCAAGGGTGACCTTTAGAACCCCTAGTGAGTCTGATAGCGAGAGTGTGACGTCACAAAAGTCATCTAATATACAACAGCAACAGCAGCAGCAAAATCTCGATTTTGAGTTGGACCTGACTGTGGATATCGACAGTGGAAAATGCGTGTTTTACCCTGCTGATGACGGAGACAAAGATGAAGCATCCGATAGCAAGTAGGTGTTAACACAGAGATTTACACAGAGATTAACTCGTTCACTCCCATCCAGGAAAACCTCAAACTTAAAATTTTATAACTTCGTTATATTTAATTGTCAAAATACCAATGGAGGACATTGTTTTTACGTCTCCTAAGGTCTGGCTATTTGCCTTCTTGCCGCTTAGTTTTTTAAAACTCTGAGTATTAGTTTGCGCCCCTGGAATCGACTCCGCGACCTCTGAGCTTGCAGACCAGTGCTCCATCGAAGTAGTTAATTCATTGTCGTTTTGCTTTTCCAGAATCTCTGGCAAACGTTTCCCGTTCTCCGATCCCACTCGGGGAAAGTTATCAACACCTGTATTTCAGACAGGAGGGCAAAAGCGAAGCAAGCAAGGCGCACAGGAGAAACCTCAGTCGGAAGACACAATACTTCTGTTACCAGCCGTTGACGTACGAGTCCACTATCAATCTAACATCGACTCTGAAAGCATAGGCCCCCCGGGTACGCCTGGTACTTCATGGTGTCCTGAGCCATCTACAGACAGTGAGCAGTCCAATGTTGTTTACCCGGGGACACCGGAACCGGGGGGTAAATGTATGGAACCGTCAGCGCCCCTTAGCACTCCAAATAACAGGAAGATTGTCAAGAGAGCAGGTCTTTATGTTTGGGTTCTTTTCCAAGCCTTACCTCAGGAAATGGTATTGAAACCGCGTTTGTTAGATTTCATAGAACAGACATTACAACCAATCAGCGTCCCCGCTGAAGAGGAAGTAACGGATGGTGGGGGGTTAACTTCCGGTGATACTGATAGTGACACGGAGGGCGAGGTGGGAGGTTCCGTCGTTTCTTCATCGATGTCGGAGTATTCTTCATTCCCAGTGGATGTCGTAGTGGTAATCCGTGTTCAGCCATCCGACATTCGCTTCAGCTGCCTTCCCGTCTCTCGGGTTGAATGTATGCTGCGCCTTCCTGCCTTGGATGTCGTGTTTTCGTCTAACTCCAGCCCTAACAAGTGGCTTCCTCAGACTCCGTCAACGCGTCCTAGCAGTCGGGATCATTCCCGCGTTAAGTTGGAGCAAATGGACAACACATTGAATCCGTCTACGCTGAAGTTCGACAGTGGAGGCATCAGCTTCACTGTGTGCCTTTCTCGCTTCTCATTCTGTATCTTTCATCCTTACGGCAAACAGCACATGGGAGTTGGACGAACCTCTAGTTCAGCCTCAGACTACGAAGAAAACGCTGAAGAAAGCCGCCCTCGATTTCGTTTCGTTCAACCTCCATCTCAGCCGCTGTCAGGAAAGAAGGACTCGCTGAGTTTGAACGTGGAATTCGTGAAGTTCAATTTGTCTCGCAGACGAGTTAGTTCTGCTGGTAGTGTGACGGAAGATAAAGCCAGGACTGCTTCGCCTGATCTCTTAGCTGGGACGGGGACTGGTTCCTCGACAGTTGTCAAAGTTTCGGGTAGGTTTTTTTCTCCTCACCAATCTATTTTAAGGAGCAGTATTAATTTTACAAGCTGTCTATCGCTTGCAAAAAGTAATAACGAAACTTACAATGATTATTTTGCTGCCTTTGGCATTTGACGAAATGTTTGGTATCTTCCTGACATGTTTTCTACCTTAATAGGGAATTTTCATGGGTTTTATTATAACACAGAACCAGACAGAAATAAAGAGGTTTAGGGGGCAAAGTCATACATTTTCAGAGAAGAAGAAATGAAACCTTTTAACCCGGCGAATGATTTCACCTCCAAAATATCTTAGATTCAAGCGACCTTCACCCACTCATAAATCACTCTTTATATTCAATCTCTTGTTAGGTATCTGTGATATTGGCTCGGCAACTTTTAATTACGACATGCGGCGCCTGAACGAGATTTTAGACTTTCCAAAAGCCTGGTACAAGAGAGGGCTTGTACAGCGGCTGTTCCTAGGAAAAGAGGGATCGTACGCGACAAAAACCTCAGCCGTTGGATCGGATCAAGTACATGGTGACACTACTCCAACCAGACCTACCAATGATGACATGAAAAGAAGGTAAGTCGCTACAGTTACCAGGGTTCGTACAGAGTCTTAAATTCTTGAAAAAGTCTTGAAATTTGCCTAGCAATTTTCCAGACTTAGAAAAAGTCTGGAAAGTAGAGAGAATGTCTGGAAAAATGGCAAAAATTGTTAAGTTTTTTTTTCAAAGCTGCAACAGGTGCTTCATAAGTGATTATATTTTTCATTTTGGTCAAATCGTATTCGCTCTCCCCCGTACGTTTGCAGTGCATCCAGAGAAAAGCGTTGTTTCTACTTTTTTAAGGTCTGTATTGACCACCTATTTGATAACCTCGAGTCTGGAAAAAATTATTGTTTTAGAAAAAAAATCTGGAAAAAGTCTTGAATTTTCGATCAAAAAATCCATGCGAACCCTGAGTTTCTTATGGAGAGGAAGCCAGACACCTTGAAGTGCAGCACTTTTCCAAAAGTTCTTCAGCGTTGCCTTTTTTTGTCCAAATGATTACTAGCGCCGAAGAAGTAGCGGATCGTTGAGTCGACTTTTTATTAGCACTTGATTGATAGAAGGTCCGGAAATACTGCTCGTAGTTTAGTGTGAGGCTAGTTATTTAGAAGAAATATGCAAGACCAAGAGAGTCTTGAATATCAAGAAACCCAACGTTATATGGTTAATTGCGTCTTTAAGTTTGTACTTTGCTTTACCCCAAAGAGCGACCAGCAATTGATTCCGCGTTAAGATGTCATTGTTGTACGTGTTGTAATTGTGTTTTCGTCATCGATAACAGATCGGCATCTGTCATCGAAAAGGAGGTCGCACCAACTACTCCACCCTCGGTAAAGCGTCGGACGCGTTCACTCTTTCGATCCCAGTCTGAGTGTCGTGATGAGCCCTTACCGTCTACACCAGTAAAATCCCCAGTCAGCAAGTATAAACCAGGTAAGTCTGGTTAAACCCAGCAGTGTAAACCTAAGTTGTTTTCAGGACAGGAGGACTTGTATGGTCTGTTCTGTTCTGTTCATGACATAATCTTTGGTCTTCAGTAACTTCGACGAAATTGTATTTCCCACGGAATGTTACCGAGCGGTTAATTTCTCACGACACAAATCCCGGTGACTATAGTGAGTTGGCTTGAGATTATTGTCAACGGTTCGCCTGCATGCTCATGCTACATTGTAGGCCCCTACTAGACAGACTCATGTAGGACCATTTTGCGACATTTGCTTTTGTTAACAAGAAGTCAAAGTGTTCAAACTCCAATTCCTCTTATGATCTCAGACTAGTGCTGTAAAAACGAAATTATGTCCGCATCTTAAAAGGACGTAGCAGTTGTCTTAGAGAATCCAACTACTTTAACAGCTATATTTGAGTATTGAAGTCGAAAATATTCTTTCCTTGCAAGGCAAATTTGATATTTGTTTTTATGTCACCATGACCCGCACCATATAACTGTCATTTCTTGAACAGGTCATCGTAAAGCAGCTTCATCAGGCAACAGTTTTTTTAGCTTCCTCCCCACATCGCCCAGTCTTTTTCGTTCTATGACTATGAGCGGGACTAAGCACGGCCTTTTAAGTCCCGCCATTGCTTCCCCTACCCACACCAGAAGACGATCATCTGTGTCAGGTAAGCCGCCAATACCTTTTTATAAGAAATATTTTGTACTATTTTATTGCAACTATTTTTTGTACTATTTTATTGAGTTATCTGTGACAAGGAACTCGGGGAACTCAATTGGGAGAGCAGCCGACTAGTCAGCCGTCCGTCTCCACGTCCTTAACTTCAGACCAGCAGCCGACCTGAGGAAATGCCTTTGGTTTAGAATATTTATTTAGTTCTTTCCACACTTATCATCTTATAGTTTATTTATTTATTATTATTTTGTTCGAATTGAAAACCAAGAGAATAAGATTTCTTCATCTGGCTGAAAATGACACGATCTAACTGTGACGCCTCGTGAAGGAGCACAAACCAAAGTGTTTCACGGTGATTTACGTTAAAAAGTGGGCAATTGATTTAATAAGACACGGCGAATAAAGGTTGCTTTAAATGAATGTCAATCAAAGAAACTATCCAGAACATTAATTTTATTGTCTGAGGTCTTGAAGAACAAAACAGTCTAAGCAAGACAGTCTTGTTGGAGGTGCGAATTATCGTGGTAACGATGCGAATTATCATGGTAACGGTGCGAATTATCGTGATAACGATCGATTTCGACGTACATTGTAAAAGAAAAATCAACGATAAAAAAGTAACACGACGTTTCGATGACTCCATGTCATCATTATCAAATGCGAAGAGAATTATCATGAATTGGTGAGAGCCTTGTATTCGTTTATGGGGGAGGAGTGGGAGGTGCATGTTTACTTGTTTAGGATCAGTTGAGGTTTCACTAACTGACCACCTACCCCTCCGCTAAGTCAACATTAATACTTACTTCTCACTTAAGGCAAAATTGTGACTTAGGGGAGGGGTAGGTGGTCAGTTAACCACAAACCTCAGTTGATCCCATGTTTAAAGGCTCTCTGAACTACACGCTATTTAAGGGAGAATATGCCTGCGTTGTATTAACCAAAAATGATGGTCCTTTGTTTCAGGCGCGAAAAAGATAAGATCTCCTGAACGGCAACCGGAACTTAAACCCATTGAAAGTTCGTCAGAAACGGAAGTTGATGGAGGTCTGAGTCATTCCTCCTCGTCAAGTCTTGGGGGCAGTAGGTCCAAGTGGGAGACAGTAGTAGTTGTGGCGCTCAATCTCTCTCGAATTGACATCTCCACAAATATGGGCAGCGTTATGGGCCAAACACTGTAAGAGCATGATTAACTCCTAATTACTGTCTTGTTCAGGCGAATTTCAGTTAGGGTAATAAATGATTCTAGAATTTCTCAATTAGAGACTTAAGAAATAGGATTTTTTGTTTCTTGACTCGACTGTTATTAAAGCTGAAATCCACCATTTCCTTTAGAGTAGCGTTGCGATTATTCGTCTTTTTTCTGTTATTGATCTCATCTTATGAAAATTAAGGATAAAGCTACCTTTTAGACTGCGAATAAGAAAGGAATGTTACAATCAAATATTATATTAACGATGATAATTTGTTGGCTTTTTTATCGAAGTGTTAAAATCATTATAAACTTTAGGTTTTCTCGTTAGACTTATTTTTCCTTATTTTAGTACCCCCTTCGACAGTTTGAATGTAGGCTAACAAATACAATAGTTTCTTTCGGCGAATAAGCACTTTTGTTTTCGTTTTACTTTTCTTTTAGCTGGAGCACGAGTGACCTTCGCTCGCAGTGTCACGTTACCTTGACTAACACGGGAAGGCGAGAGCTAAAAGGAACAGCCAGTGTGAGACAGGCGTTATATGAAGCACGGAGCGGGATCGTTGGCGCACATATTGAAATACAAGAGCTTAAAATGCGAGGTAGATACCAGTGTTATTTCCGCAGAAGTCAGTGTTATATAAATCACACGGGAAAGAGTGTGTTATCAAGATATTCAAACAACAACAATAGGCCTTTTGTAGCTGAATAGTCACATGGTACTAAAGCTTTTTAGCGGAGTGATCCGTGGTTCACCGCGGCTGATATTAAAAAATAATGCGCTTTCTTTGAGTGTCATTGTATTTAGCACTGAAGTGCTAACTGGGGACACTATATTAACGTCTCCTACTGGAGACGGGACCGCCGTTACGTGGTCATCCGAGCCACGCGAAGGTCTAGCCGCTTGCAGTGCAAAGGGAGTACCTTCATTTCTCAGTTTTGTAAGACACTGAGTATTGATCCGGGCCTGGGAATCGAACCCGGGACCTCACACTCTGCTGTCAAGCGCTCTACCGACTGAGCTAATCCTGCCGCGGTTGATAACTATACAACTTTGATTAACCAGTTGTAGCTATCTTTATTATTTATATTCACTTTGAACCCGGGAGTATCAATTGATAGCGAATGAATGACAGGATTTTTAACTATTCTTTACTTTTGATAGCTGATGTTAACGAGGAACGTGGCAGCAACCCTCAACATCTGATTCATCTGGGACTACGTTACGCTGAAGCACGTGTTGATTACATGGGCACATGTATACTGATGGGAAATCTGTCCGCATTTAAAACGGACTTGCGTGACGAGTGGACGCTACAAGAAACCACCAGCCCCTCCACAGGTGAGTTATACTCATTTGTCAGATTTGTCTTATACGTGACAAACAAGTTGTTCTTACTCCTAACTGGACTTTTGCGAGTCTCCCGTAGCTTAGTGATGAAAGAATCTGAACTGGTTACCACATGGTTCTAGGTTAGACCCCCTCCTATTGAGAGAATTCGGATATTTTTTAAAATCGCCTGTGTTATTGCGCAGCAAAAAACCTGTTGGATTCTCTTTTTTAAATCAAATACGCTAAAACGGCACTATACCAACCTCCGTTTGATGGCTCTTCCTTTTTTGTTAATTTTGCCCCGTAGCAGAGCACAGGCGCAAAACTAGAGCTTTGAAGACGAGGGAGGAGCTTCTCTGAAATCTTGCTACTAACATCATTTCTTTCTATTTCTTCACTAGACAATTTGTTTGAGCAAGAGCGTGAACCAGTAAATGCCAAAATTTATATGCATGGTGATTTGGCATGGACAGATTTTAAGGTGATGATCTGTCGTTCTACCACTCCTGACATGGTGAAAATGATCGCCAAGATTCAGGAGTTTCTCGCGCAGCAACATAGGAACAGCATCCGGGCACTGTCCTCACTTCGTCCCCAGGCTCCACTCATTGCGGGGGATGTGATGTCATCTTTGTCGTACCCAGTCTCTGCGGGTTCTCAAGTTTCAGGCAAAGAAGAGAATAAAGATGGTTAGTATTATTTTAGTTAGTTTGAGCAAACAATTAGGTCATATGCAACCTAGCCTGCGCCGTAGACGAAACTAAACTCTGGTTAGCCTGCAAGCAAGCTCAGTCTCTGGGGCGCTCTGGCGGCGAGGCGGGAAAAGAAGGAGAGCTTGCATGTCTCTGAAATTTGAATTTCTGCATCAAAAAAGTCGATGGGAAATGCTGATTAGCGGAGATGACAGTAATGAGGTCATTACCCTTAACACATGTTTTTCAATGTTTTGTTTACATTCGCACCCGTTTCCGCTTCCCGATGATTGGCAGAAATGTAGCAGCTCAGTCGACGGGGAGACACATGGGAATTGGAGGTGAAATTCAATTTCCACAAACGTAGTTGCAAGCTCTCCTTCCTTTTCCCGCCTCGCCGCTAGAGCGCCCCGGAGAGTTTGCTCGCAGGCTAAACTATGGATAAGACCTTCTGTGAGCCATCGCCAAAATCCTTGTTCTGGATCCCCAGTTGAGTACGTGCCATGGTTTGCTAGTTTTAAAAAGCCCCTTAATGGCTATGTAATCAGGTTGAAGGGAAATTTGAAACGCACGTCTGGTAATTCGTTGAGTCCGTAGGGAGGGGGAGAACAAACAAGGACCTTGGTGCTGTACGACCCACAGTTAGATGACGTTGCATCACAGGCTATGTGCGACCATTTCTAGTGAAAGCTCGACAGTTGAAACCTCTTGTACTAGTTCAGAAATTGTAAGTTAGAAATTATCGTTGAATTCGTAGTTGTGTCAGACATGTTTCCCTTTGAAAAAACTGTGCTCCGAATCTACTTCTTACGCACTGCGTTGTGCAATATACTTCTTATAGGACCAGTTGTGTGGTAAAATAAGCGAAGTAAATAAAAGATAAAATTCGACTGTCGGGCTAGTCTAGCGTTATTTCTTAAAATTACAAAGTACAAATAAAAGGAAGTCTAAGTGAATTTCATCCACCTCTACCAGGTACGATTTTGATTTGCAGAAAAGGTATAACTTTTTTATTGCTGTTTGGTTTGGATCTGCTATTGGGGATTTCTTATTGAAAAAACTCTCTCGCTTGTTTGCAGGCCTGAAATATCAACACTGGGGAAAAGTACTGAACGCGGTCAGGGGGCTGAAACTGAGCGTCCTTAGCAACGCTCTGCCAGACAGGGGCGTGTTATTGGGCGGTAGCCTGACTTTACACGGTAAAGGCTTTGCCCTGGCGTGCTTCCATGGAGTCAACTTCCGCTCGCAGTCTTGGGTACTGTTCACACTTCAGAGACCTTACATGACGTTTTCAAGCAAAGTATGCTCGGTTGAGAAGAGCTGTCAAGTGAGACGGGTTAAAGCTGTACAGGATCTATCGCTTAAGCTCGGACATGGCACTGGTGATCCGCTCAGTGGAAGACTGTCGCCTTCTTCAGGTGATATATTAAACCTGCCTGCCTTTGTTGAGATTTAGCGGCGTGTTAACGGCCAACATCACGCGACTATTAATTTTACTCGTGTTATCTATTGCATTTGTCGATCAATTTAGGGTTCTGGGAAACTGCCCACCTACCCCTCCCCTAATCCAAAATTTTGCCTTAAGTGAGAAGTAAGTGTTAATGTTGACTTAGGGAGGGGTAGGTGGGCAGTTTCCCAGAAACCTAAATTGAGCCGCATTTGTTGCTGGTCTGATGCCGGTTTCATCGTTAGAATGAGTTTTACTTTTTCTTGAACCAAACAAAAAGATTATTTTAATCATTGTTTTCGGAGTTTTACGATTTCCAACGTATAATTGATACATAATCTCTGTATTGTCGTTACACCGCGAAGAATGTCACTTATTGCTCGAGATGAGTACGTATGACGAGGTAAACAGTTAAGGCCGTTATTATTCGAAGCGTTTTTTGAACTTACCATTATTGATTTAGTTCTGAAAAAATACTTATATTCTAAGTACGCAGATTGCACCACTTCAATTTTATCCCCTTTGTACATTTCTTACTACCGTATGTATTCGAATAAACTTTCAACCTCGAATTAGCGCCCACCTTGAATAAGCGCTCATCCTAAAGGCAGAATAAGTTAATAAGCGCTCAGCCTCGAATAAGCGCCCACCCCACCCCACCCCCTTTCCCCTTCCACCCCACCCAAAATTGAATAAATACTATCAAGAGACTTCCACAAAGACGGAGTTTTCTTCAGAGTATTTTACACAAACCTTGCTTTGTTCCATCTTCGAGATTTGTTATTACCATTTATTGTTTTGTTGCAAAATAAACATACTACACTTGCTGAAAATGTTGAAAATTTAATAAGCGCCCAGCCTCGAATAAGCGCCAACCTCGAACAAGCGCCCACTCAAGGTCCAAAAATGTAATAAGCGCCCAGGGCGGTTAATCGGATAAATACGGTAACTTTTGTTTTTACTATATCATTTTTCACAGCACACGTTGGAACAGTCCAAAAAGTTGCTCGTGGCAGGAGGAGTCCCCCGTCGATGGGCAGTACCGTACAGGATTGGCTAAATTATGTCTGTGCGACCGGGGGGGACATCAGTCCCACTGAAGGCTCCGCTCCTGTCGCTTTCGATAAACCTCGCTCAGAAAGCTTAGGAGGCGGCAAAACTCCATCTAAGGAAAGAAGATCTAGTTACTCTGGTGGTCTCCGATATGAACACGAAACAGAGGCGATATTCGCCATTCCCAAGCTTGAAGTCGAATTCCGGTCTGAACATGACATGCCAATGACCTCTATTGCTTCCAAATGGGTTCGAAAGCAAAAGAGGTAAGATTACCCTGAAAACTCCGAACAAAAAACTTACCTATCCCAAATACACTTTTTAGAACACAGATTGAAATTGTGCAGTGCTGAATTAAAGATGAGGAGGGTAAATTAGATTGTTTACACCTTTTGATACTACCTTACATATGTCATAACTGCATCTACAAGCACTTCTCTTTTGTCACCAGCCTGAAACAGGAAATTTCCTGGTGTTTTATCTGGTTATTGACTGCACGTTGTTTTGCGTTATCAGTGCGCCTTCCGTCACGTTACTGCCAATGACACCAGCTAGTCCACATGTAGTGGAGACGAGCCTGAATTCAACCTTTGACGATGGGCTTTGTGTGACAGTGGATGTTGGACTTTTGTTTTTCTTACACGATGTGGTGCAGACATACATCAGAGAGAACGAGACATCACCTTCAGGTAAGTGAAGAAAAGTCGATAACGCATCCCTTTTATGTTGCGACCCCCGCAGTTCAGCCGTAACATGTTGTACTTTGCCGAATTCTTTGCTGTAGGTACTGTGTCAACATCTACAGTTGTTTGTTTAAGGCTAGGTAAATAAAAAAAATTGCAAACGGCTTGAGTTACAACCAGTTTAGCAAGTAATTGAGACACTGTACCTTATTTTATATGATCTTGTGCTTGTGATCCCCCTCCACCTCTTACCAAAGTTGCTAGCAGCAGAAGACCATGCTCAAAAACGTCCAGGAACAACTTTTAAAGGAGGGGAGGAAAGTGTTCAGTATTATATCTCACAGACCTGTGACGAGCAGCGATTTGAAGCAAGAAAGGTCGGTTTTTCGTCGGAGTGTCTCAACTTTTCTGCAACTGTTTATAGCTCAGTGGGAAACTGCTTTGCTTCTAACACTACTCACAAACTTAAAACTTTTCCTTTACGTCTTAGCTCCTTAATGTCAGAATTTGACACATGTTCAATAATCGTCTACACTTGATCTCAAACAGTTTGCGATTACATTTCCACGCCGCCTTTCTACCCACAGCTGCCTTTGCCATTCAGTCATCCTTGACAACCTAGCTTACAGTAAAAATAAACAGTTTCTCTTTACTTGCAAATCACAGGAATCAACGTATTATACAACTCCACCAGCGTAGTGTATTCGGTCGAAATATCAAGAGCTTTTTGCGACTCAGTGTTTGTGCAAAGTCGTGCATGTAAGGACCTAGGTCAATAGGTAGGGTTAATTAGTGAGGTGTAAATGAAGATGTTTTAAGACTTTGTGCATTGCCAATAGCCCATGTTCGATGTATTAAAATTCTTACATGAATCTGAGGATTGCAAATTTTTCAAGACTCCATTGTCTCGCAATTCCCAAAAGAGACTTGAGCACAAAGAAAATCAAACCAAATATAGAAAAATGACCAGAAACCCTGGGAGTCATGTTAGAATTTTAACATATCGAACGTGGGCTATTTCGGTTAATATTAGGTTGTGTATTTGGAATCTTTTACTAGGTTCCATTCCTCGCGGCATGTCACCCCCGACACGGGTTCGTAAGGAGCGCATGTCAGAGAAAGAAGACAGAGAAAAGGCCCCTAAACCGGAAGCTAAGAGGATACGTCAGTTCCGCAGCAAGCACTGGAAGCTTGAGCCGCGAGTTCGTTTCTTGTCTTGGGCGGGAAAAAATATGGACCCTGTTAACATTGACTGGGTTCTTCAGAAGCTGGGCTTCTCGCATGCGCAGTTAACTATTCCTAAGTGGGCTCAAAGAGGCGCAATGGATCCAATGGATACATTCTTATCAGTGCTGGTTGACAGACTTTTGGCGGGAATGCAAGAAAGTTCGAGTTACCTAGGCGACGAGGAATAGGCGGAATAAAAGCTCAGGTATTAAGGAGCAAATGTCAGACGTTTTGACGCATTTTTGCAAAACAAAGATCGACAACTGCGAGGCAAGCAGCAACCATTTTGGCATAACGTGGTATGATAGAAATGCGAGACAATGAAATGGTTCAGGAGGATAAATTAGTGTACTTGTTATCCAATTTCACTCCTGCTGTAACATTTTAATTGTGTATTTTGAATTTTTCGTGTTTTTTTTTGGCAATTTATTCCTATTTTCCTTCTACGAATCCGCTAAGAAAATAATGCCAATAAAAGGCGTAAACTGTGTTCCTCGTGAATTGCGAGGCATCAGAGGGTCATTTGATATCCTCATTAAGCTTACGCTTTTCTTCGTATTTAGTTCTAATTAACCCAGCTACACGTTTTATTGGCTACACATTACACAGGTCAAGCTTCACGTTTACGTCAAATGGCAAACGTGAAATTTGTACGTTTAAATTTGTAAGTTTTCCTCTTACTTGTCGTTTACTGTTCATTATTTCCACACATAAGTTATTAATTTCACGCAATTTTGTATCCATACGAGTTGTTTTGAGCTGTTTCTATTCATTTTCTATTTTGAGAAATTCTCATCTTGAATCTGCCTTTTGCCGTATACGCGAAGCGTTGTAGCTTTCATCCCTTGAGCTGCAAGAACATGGAATCTACTTTGAGTGGGTAAATGTAGCTGTCCCAGAATATAATACTGTCTTGGAGTCCCTTATATGGGGCGACTCAAAAAGTTTGTTCTTTTTTGAAATATAGCTCTTACATCAATGGCTCGCGAAAACGTTCTGTAACCATTCTACCTTACCCTCAAATCAAGTTCATTATTATTCTTTTTTACTATTAAATCAGCACGTGTTGCTTGGTCGACGCAATTTATACAGGCAAATAATTTCCAGTCGCGTAACCGTTACTACTAGCTTAGATAAAAATTGTACGCTTTAATAACGAACATCACACCCTTGGAAATAA